GAGAGAGAGAGAGAGTAAAGAACAAGAAATAGTCATGCCTTCAAGTACCAGTTATCAACCAAGGATTGAGGTGTTCAAAACCTCATTCTTTCATAGATCTATCGCAGAGCGGAACTCGCTGTCACTAAGTACAGTAGGGGGCATTGTCATTAGATGGCCTTAAACAATGTTCAGAGTAAGTTGTTCAAGGGTTGGGTGTAACAAGTCGTTCTGTGTAATGTAGCCACCTGCCGCCGCGCCACGTGCTTGCTTGGTGTGTTACGCCGAAAGGCGGTTATACAGATGCAGATATCTTGTACATCTAATCGTAGTAATCTTTATCAATTTGATTAAAGATATCAGGCACAGTGCTAGCAGGTCACTTACTACGTTTCGAGCCACTCCCCTCCCAATGGACTACCGTTATTTATGACAACTATACCAGAAGGAATCAGATGATGAAGTGACGATCGAAATCATAAAAATAAAATTCAATACGGGCAAGCAAGATTGATACCTGGGAGTAACGGCTCTCCTGGGTGCCATGTTTTACGATGAAGTCAAAATGTCAGAGAGTTCATCAATTGCAACTGTTACGCCATTCATGATCTAAATTCTAAACGGCAAGCGAGATATGCAATTCGTTGGTAGTCAAATTTTAAAATTCCTCAGACCAGTTCGCCTCCCCGTGGCAAACTATATTTCCCAGGGTTTGCGAACTCTGTACGGTATAAACCAACATCAGTTGACCCATGAAATCAACGTGATCTGATGGCGATATCTTTAAGCTTCCGTTTCAAATCCCCTCTCAACTATATTTGGATCTGAAAGCTTGAAGAGCCGTTAGATCTTCCAGTGTTAACAAGGTTTTCCAGTAAGACGATGTGAATAACAGTATTGAGTTCAACCCCCCTCCCTCCTTTATTCCATTTCGGTGCAAACAGGCGTGAAACATGAAGAACCCCCCGTGTTTAATCTCCCAGGAGGCCGTGGCCCTGCTAACACGTCTGATTGAATCTCGGCACGAGGGACAGGTGTAGGTCAGAGGTCACAGATTAGGGGAACATGGCGCTTGGCTTGCGGGGAGGGATCGGGGTAGATAAGGCAGGAAGGTCAGGGACTGGGAAACCTGCCGCTGCGCTACTTCAATAGCAGGATCCATGGGAATAAAAGTTTTAGCATTCCAAGTAAGCCTTAACCATTGACGCCCCATAAATAAAGAAAGTGTGATTTAATTTCCATGGATCTTTGTCGTTGGAGCGAGCTACACATACATCTAAGCTATTGGCGGTCATAACCTACTATACATTTAACATGCAATGCATTGTAGTGCCATGAGTGTTAATGCCTCTCCACGCCATTGCTGTTTGCTGTGTTAGAACTAACATCCCGCCATAGTTTCAACAGTAGCTGCTCGCAATTTTGAAGGATGCACGAGACAACCATTAGACTCATATCACGTGATAGATAACGTCACTTCCGCTTCCGGAAAGAAACCAGGTAACTCGTCCGTTGTTCTAACACTTTTCTACAAGTTACACCATTCATTGTTGATCACTAAAATGCATCAAACCATGCATGAGTAGTGAATAACATAGCACGGTTGATGAGTAGAAAAACAGCTAGTAGAATACAATCACAAAGTAGAGGCAAATACCTCTAATTGGTACCTATAACTACATGTATCTCTGTAAGAACGTTATTAACCTATAGTGTTTTACCTACAAGTTTTGTTTCAATTAAAATATTGGTAATTTTCTTACCTATTTCTTCCCCCTCCAGGTGATATCTCGGAGGCAGAAAGACTGTGGAAGGAGGAGTTTAAGTTGTGGACCAAACAGTACATGGAGGACTGGAAAGCGCAGTATAAAGACTACGTCACCTACAGAGACCAGGGCTGCCCAAGGCCGTCAAATTAGAACGATTTGTCCGCATCTGTAATGCATAGAAACAAAGTACATTTAGTTATACTAAACACAAGTATGTCACGTTTCCAAAATTTGGAAATCTATGATGTTTCGCGTTAAAAAATATGGTGTAGATAAGATTGAGGTGATGGAAAAAAATATTTGAGGAATAAAACTTGCTGTCAGTAAAATTGTTTGAGAGTATTTTCACATCGTATTTATTATACCATATGTTACACGCAAAAAAGTCCAATGTAGAATACAACAAAGTGTGTTGAAGATTTTACATAGCTATGATTTAGTGCAAGAAACCGGGAATATATTTGAAGCCCTTTTCTTTCCTATATAACTACCTCTTACAGGCTAGCCTATTCACTTAATGCTCTAGCCATGCCCTGTAGCAAGATTCTAGTTCCAGCTTTTCCATAATTAATCATTTCATTACTTTATAGAATTTTAAAGTACCAGATCCACCGATGAGTGACCTAGAGGTTAATACCGGGGTATCCCTGGATTTGGGCTTTAAGATGGGACGAGTGGTGAAAAATGGATGGCTTATGTTCGTGTCATGCATTTTACTGAGAAATCCGTCCTTCTTACAAGAAAAGCCTGTGGCAAAAGAGATGTATTGATTCGTTTAAACTCTAGAGAAATGTTCGATTTGATGAATATACCAAGAAGTGTTTCTGGCCCACTCCATGTTTGAAAGAAATCGAAAAGACAGCCTGTGGGAATTGGTGGCCAGGAAATGGTTAGATTTCAAACCCTGTTTTTTTTTTCAACCCAGGAATAGAAAAAAACTCCCTATTACATTATTATTTCTGTTTGGCTGATTCCTTTGATTGCCAAAATGGTAAAGGCAGCATGGTACTTAAAACAATTGAACGTGACAGGAGAAATTGAGAGATTTGGCCACGGTAAGCTTGATAAAATGCAAAGAAAAGAGAAAAGTAACTTTGAAGGAAAGTTTATTTTTACGCCTACATACTCAGCACTGATATACAACATTAACAACATGCACAATTATACAATGCCTACTTACATGTACATTCCACGTGTTTGGTCTTTTCTTCTATTGCACAACAGGAAGTGTTAGTGTTTAGTTAGCAAACGTATACAGTGGGTACATATAATGTAAAATAATTTTTTCTCAATAGTTAGTGTTTTTTCATGACAATAAACTTAAGTCTTTTGCGTCTTTTGCCTCTTTTTTTGGTAGCCACAAATATATTTTGAAAGGTGTTCTGATAATTACTTCAAAATGTTGCAATTGATATACGGTAAAAACATATGAAATGGAAGTTTCTTTCTCATAGTCATGAAGACCTATGTGATACGAAGAGACTTACTAGTATGCCGAGGTCACATTTCCAAACTCGAGCCCGGCCGGGCAGTCTTATGGAACGAAAAGTATGATAAAAGACAACAAAGCCCCCCCCCCCCAAAAAAAGTTGAAAAGAAATAATGGAACTATTTGCGTATATTATTGATATAAATTATTGATTTTTCGTTAATTGAAACAGCCCGGTTGGGCAGCGGTTTGGGAATGTGACCTCAGCATTAGCTGATTATGAAATAACACAGTAGTAGTAACAGAAGGTGATAAAGTTGCTTATTTGATTTATTCTCTCAACCCATTATCATGTAACGAAGCGTATTAACATGCTTCGTTACTTTTCACAACATCACGATCGTTAAATGTGGAGGCAGTTTAAATCATACACAAGAGAAAACACGCCAGTTGCACTATGGCACTACGTTTTGTACTTTATACGTAGGAAATAAAGACTTGCGAGCTAAATGACTAAATTAATTATTTGGAGACCGTTTTAAAGTTGAACTGAAAGGAGTACCCACGATTTGTATTAGAGATGCACAACACAACAAGTTTGTATAATGTATGTACTCTATATCTCATAACACACCGTGACAGTGTAATACGGCGGATTCTCCTGGGCCTCTGACAAAGTATCGCCCGTATCGACGACTCCTAATTTGCTGTCACCATGTGAAAAATTGGGTGTGAAAATCGAATTAAAGAGAACGTGTTTTCTAACTTGATTCATTCATCAATGCTCTGTCGTCATCGTCGCTGCCAAATGCAGAGCAGGGCGTTGCAACAGTTCGTGCGCAATAACGGCCTTACAAATGAGGTCGTTACTGCGCAGGGTACTCCGAGAAGTAAAGTGGAAATAGATTGCGCCCCCCCCCCCCCCCACGCACACATTTTCAAAATGGCCGCCAAATTGCAATCAAAATGACAAACGATGCAACATCAAAACTTCTAAATTTGGTATGGGGCATTCCAAACAATCTTTTATCTATACGCCTATTTTGGATCCAAAGTTTCTAATCTGGACTGTTTTCAGAGGGAAACTTACAGCTGCATGATCTATTGAAATTCAACTTGATAGTACATGATACATATAATCACAATGGCCCCTACTTTAAAAAGTCAGGTATATAAATCAATGCCAAAGATTCAAGTTATTTGCCCAGCAGGGATCTTCCTGGGTAATTCTACAGCAACTACATGACCTTGATCTGAGTACCGCTTCCTTTCAAGGGAACAAACAAGGTTAAGTGCTAGCACAGAATGCACTAAAGACGTTTTCCAGATGCACCAACTTGAGACTTTCCCACATATTTATGTTTACCGAATGAAAACATATTGTTTTTGCTCAGTTTCTTCCTCTTCTTCTTCTCCAGTGACTTCTGACCTGACCAATGACATGATTTCTTGATGTCTGTCACCATGGTGACTAGTGTTGGGTTACATAATGTTGCAATTTCACGGTCTGCTCTGTTCCTGTCACCATACACTAGTAGTACATGTATGCGAATGTCTTTGAGTAAGAATTAACAGAGCAGACCACGTCCGAAGGTAAACATTATGCATTTGTTTTGCAAATGTTACTTCTCTAGTCCCTAAAGCATCGCGTCATGATTCTTACGTCATGCTTTTTTTTTTTACAAAAATGTAGCTCTGTGTAATATAGGATTGACTTGAACTAAACAGCTGTTTTGTGTCTTGCAGATGACATTATCGACAGCGCATGCGCGGGGTCGTGCCCAGCGTCCTGTTCCAGGAGTGCCGCCATCTTGAGCCTCAGTTTCATGCTGACCTTGACCTTCACATTACAAGCCGTCAGAGACTAGCACCGATAGAACGACCAACACAAATGCAAGGTAGTCAGCCAGCATGGATGCGGAAATGAAAGCACAATAACATAAAAACAACTCAACTCAGCATGTAAGAAAAATGTAGCTTTGTGTAATGTTTTTGATAGCATAACATGAGACAATTGTAATTTATATGAAGTTGGAAATTAGGGGTAATATCTTTTTCCTTTGGTATATGTGTAAAAGCCTTTCTACTTTGTCCAAAATAGAGCAAATATCGAACTATTAGAGATATCGCAAACGGTAGGCCGTTTTGTTACTGAATAGCACAGTAGAGTTGCACGAACAAATCCTTGTGAATACTGGCGAATTTTATTGTACCATGCATTATGGCATGGGACTGGGAGAAGCATATGAATTAACAGGGACCATGCTAGAGACATGATATAGCTGTAGAGATTTTAGGATTTTAGCAGAATGAAGTAACCTCATAGTGCAAATATTGTTAGATATCAGCACCTGAATCGATTTGTAAATATGGACATGTTATGGTGGAGAACTGCGCTGATGATGATAACGTTAGCACTTCCCGATTTAGCACTTAGTACGTCAGAATTGTAAAGAACTTTCTTAACCGCGTGCGTTAGAAAATAGTTGGCCAACAAAGATGCAATATGGAATGTTTGACACAGCGTGGAAAACTTGTATATCAACAAAGTTATAGTAGAGATAGGATTGGTAATATGTGCGCAAATATGAAACATTGTATAAATCAGTTTGCAAGGGCATTTTCAAAACGTGTTAACATAGCCACTTGGTATTTTCCGTTCTCCAAAGTGATTTAGATTTTTTTTGTCTTTAAATTCAGTTGGCAGATTGGCCTTAAATTGTTCCACATGCCCACTTTGGCTGGTCCAAAAGTACTTTCTACACACAACCCGCAAACGTATTCAACCTTCACTGAAGGGGTGTGGAAGAACTGGAAAAACAAAGTGGTGTTAAAACGTGCCGGAGGTATGTCTTAACTTGATTATTTCTAATCGATTTGAAAGTGAAAAATAGTATTAATTTAAAATTAAAAGCTTGCTTGCTCTTTGAAAAGATTGACCCGATCTGTTAGGATGGATAACCTTACAGAATGTCATGTGAGCAGTGAGTGATTGGAAGTCGATATCGCCCCCCGTCCCTGTTCCGATAAACTTTCCATAATATCATATGAAAAAATAATATAATATTATTGTTAAAACGCATAATTTCATGTAGGTGTGGGGGTTAGATGAGTTTGTGAACGTTGGCAACATTTGATCAGATGATACAAAATAAAACGATTTCTATAGCTTGTGTTGATGCCTTGTTCACCAAGAAGTCTTCTTAGTTGCGAACAGCGGTGATGAAGTACAAACACTCACACAATCACACACAAATCTATGCACACATGCAGACACGCAAAGAGATGACAGACACACACACACACACTCACACACACACACACACACACACACACACACACACACACACACACACACACACACATACATTGTTCTGTGAAGTGTATATTATACAGTAGGACGTCCGTACAACCATTGAGAGCGAGACACTGCATTTATCAGACGGTTAGTTGCTTACGCCAAGTTACGGTAACTGGCATGGCTGAGTGACAGCAAACTGGTGTATAAAAGACGGTGTCAAGCACATGTTGACCTCCTGTGACAGCCACTTGGTGCCGTGAGAGGGTCAATCTCGCCTCGCAGCAAACTGAGAGAGGTTTAGTAGCCAAAGATAAAATGGAAACACCATGTTTGTTCAGCCCGAGGGGTCACTGAAACAATTTCACCCCTGACCGCCATGTTGCTGATTGAAGTTTTGTACCACTGTGCTACAGATGTAAATATCGAGACGTTTAAGAAATATGCAATTCAGATTTGATATCTCAACGGAATGGGGGCACCGTTTATCGTTTAAGTCGTGCGCTACTTAAAATAGGGGCATTTTCTCCGTTTCACGCGCATGGATAGTCCACAAAGCCCCCCTCCCCCCTCTGCTGACAGCTGTCTGGTATCCTAAGGGTTAGCACGGAGTTCCCGGCATTCCTAGCTTAGCCACAAACCACAACAACCGACGCGACCGCCATGACAGCAGCTCGACCGGTTCAGCGGCCGTGGTGAGTCCCCGCCGAGGTAAAATTTGTTTTCCATCGACTGCACGCATCTCTCTAGAACGGAGCTACGTCGAAATGAAGACATCATATTGCGTGTTTTCTGTGTGACATCGAAACAGAAGCGTCCAAACTCTCAGAAGGTAAGGCAACGTGTATTGGGAATGTGTACATGTTATATATATATTGCTCAACAAGATTTCGAACTATAATTTCTGTCGTCGAACAAGACCTTGTATTTACTGTGCTTCTTTTCATCTATTTGTGACAAACGTTTTTTTACTGTATCAAAGCTGTCCTACGAATTATACAGAAAAAAATATTTTTGGTAATTAAGTTCAAAAGTTAAGCTCATTATCTTTTAATCAAAGTTTATCAAAAGAATGCTACTCTGTGACGTCAAAAGGTTGGGAGTTCAGACATTTTGTCTCTGAACTTTCATCAGTGACATAGACGGCATAGCAGCGGCCTCCGGTCGACGTCAATAAACCGGTAGAGGAAAGGGCAGTGGGAATATTTAGAAAACCTTGGCTTCAGGGTATCATTTTTCACGTCACCAGTGTGTGAAAATTGAAGCACAGCGAAGACAAATATAAATATCTCGCCCATAGCGTCATGTTGTCACATTGGTTTAAGTTATCGTTGTAACCTTTAAGTAGGGACACACATATGTGCATAGGTAGGCATGTGCATCTAGATGCTTCGTGGAAGGGGACCTTTTATGGTAAAGCTATTTTAGAGGTATAAACTAAGAACCCCCCGCAAGAAATCTTAGAAAGGTTCCATCAATGTAAATACTAGTACACATTTAAGTCTGTTTGCAAAGCAAACTAAACCAATGACGCATTGTTTCCTAACAACTTTCTTTTTTTCTCCTTTTGCATTTTCGTTATTTATTTTTTTTTGTAACGAATGTTAGTGTTTTTATTCCAATTGCTGTTGGTTTTGAACTAAAAAAAACGGTACTTTTTCTTGATTTTCCTTATCAGGAACCAATTAATGAGAAACTATTGAAAGTTGTGTGAATGTGTCAATGTGCTATATAACGTCTGTTGTAGCTAATGTGTTGTTTGTATTTGTTTTGTTTTTTTCATAGTCTTGTTGTTTTTACAGATACATAAAGTGAAGACGAGACGATTCGGGCCTTTTCCAACATGACGAAGTTAATACTTATCGTCCTATGGGGACTTCTTCCCGTCACGTTAGGACAACAGGATCAACAGTCTCCAGTTGTAACTCTTAGAAATGGTAAGATCCGGGGCAAGACGATCCCCGTCTTGAATGGACTCGTGAACGCGTACCTGGGAATCCCCTACGCAGAGCCTCCTACAAAAGACCGAAGGTTCAAACCGCCAGTGCCGAAAACCCCCTGGAAGGGCACCTACAACGCAAGGGACTATGGGAACGCCTGTATGCAGATCGACGACGATACCTACCCAGGATTCCGCGGGTCGGACATGTGGAATGCAAACGTACCGAAATCGGAGGATTGTTTGTACCTTAACGTTTGGGTGCCGTCATCAGCGCCCAAGGAGGCTACGGTGATGGTTTGGATCTACGGCGGCGGTTTTTATAGCGGAGTGGCGTCGTTAAAAGAATACGAAGGTCAAACGTTGGCATATACAGGTAGAGTTATAGTGGTGTCCATGAACTATAGAGTTGGAGCCTTGGGATTCTTAGCTCTTGACATTGACGACGCGCCAGGAAACATGGGACTGTTAGATCAGAACCTTGCCTTGAGATGGGTTCAACAGAACATCGGACAGTTTGGCGGGAATCCTGACAGTGTGACGATATTTGGCGAAAGCGCCGGTGCAGCCAGTGTGGGCTACCATCTCTTGTCACCCCTCAGCAGACATCTCTTCAAGAGAGGCATCATGCAAAGCGCGTCCCCTAACGCAGAGTGGGCGTCCCAAAGCTACGAAACGTCGAAGAGACGAGGCCGCCTGTTGGCAGATGCAGTTGGGTGCCCATCCGATAGGGGGAGCCAGGTGATGGTGGACTGTTTGAAGAAAATCCCAGCCGGAGAAATCATCTACAAAGAGTGGGTGGAAGTCGGGATGTTTTTGTTTCCTTTCCATCCGGTGGTTGATGGTTACTTCGTACCAGAACATCCGAATGAACTGCTCAGGAAGCAGGCTTTTAAGAAAACCGAAGTTCTGATGGGATTTAACAAGGACGAAGGCAGCTGGTTTCTAGTTTACCTCATTCCCGGCATGGACAAGGACCATGAGTCTTTGCTCTCACGAGAGCAGTACCTGCAAGGGGTAAAAATGTGTCGAACACATCGGAACGCGTTCGGTCTCCAAGCAGTGGCCTTCCAACACACCAACTGGAAGAACCCAAACGACGGCAAACATAACCGTGACATTCTGGACGACATTGTCGGGGATTACCACCTGATATGTCCGGTCATCGACTTCGCCAGTTCATACGCAACATCCGGTACGTACATGTAGCCTCCAATTGACAAGCTGATGCATTATGGGTAAATGCTCAACGCGACAAAAAAAATTAAGGATGCATCACATTGCACGTGCGCAACTGGAAATATGAACTGGCTTACAATCGAGGAATCATTTGCAAAGCTTACTGAAAGAAGATCATTTTACATGATCCTTGGGCAACAATTTGGGTTCTTAGAAAATCAAACCACACTAAAGAGGCACAAGAATTACACAATGCAAGGCAAAGGGCATGCAAAATGTACAAAGTTGTTGTACAGCGACTAGTACTTGTCCATAACTTAGGACGTTGTGATGATTGATTACTTAGCTTGGTTTATTTGCATTGTTTATCTACAGGAATGGGTACATACCTCTACCTCTTCTCCCACAACCTATCCAATAACAACTGGCCTGATTGGATGGGCGTCATGCACGGGTATGAGATCGAGGTGACCTTTGGCCTGCCGATCTCGCGCACGCAGGACTTCACGCCGGAGGAGGACGCTCTCGCGAGAAGGGTCGTGAAGTACTGGACCAACTTCGCCAAAACAGGGTAAGGTTGTTTTTTTAGCTTGACTGGAAAGGAAAGGTAACAGAGAAAATACCTATTAATAGCCTTAACATTTAGCCTTTACATACATGTGTAGCTACACCGCTACTACGAGTTTTTCACTGAGGAGGCTGTTTTGGGGGTTAACTGAAACCATCACTTAAACGTATCCTTCCAATTCAGATCCTTAAATGTACGTACATGTAATTTACTAGCTCAAATAAATTTTCATCTTTATCTTGGCACCATTGCTATCTACGATTTACTGATCGCAAAAAAGGCGTTCACCAACGTACGGCCCAACCAACTGAAGGGCTTGAGAACTGACATTGTGTCCAAAGGCCTCAAACGTTCATATATCGTCCTCAGAGATCCGAACGAGGAGCCGGCGGACGTCGCCCATCGCATGGACACCTCCAGCGTGGCCACCTGGCCCCGCTACGACCTGACGGGCCGACGGTACCTGGAGATCGCGCTGAACGGGTCCTTCCCGCGGGTCGGGCCCAGGACCAAGTCGTGCGCCTTCTGGCAGAAATACTTACCCAAGTTGGAAAGAAACGCAGGTGAGTGAACAGCCTGAGTCGATTAGATAAAGGAGGGTTGGTAGAACCGATGTAAGATAATGTGGCCTGGTTTCATCAGGTTGGTAATCAGTCCTCTAAAGTTAAATCAAACAAGAAGCCATAGGTGACAATTCTCCGTGAAGTATTATATATTGCAACAAAAAGAAGTAGCCATTGGCGACAATTCTCTGTGAAGTGTGATAAATCGAACAAAGAAAAATTGTTTAAACGCGCGTCGGCTCAGTCATCTTAAGACGCAACAACCAATCAGAGATGCGAGATGCCTACACGTGACGCGGGAAGGGCGCGCGATGCCCGAAATATTTTTGCGTCAATATTCAGCGCCGTGATTCAAGAGATTAATACCCGGAAACAATTTTTTTCTTGTTTTGAACGCATTAACATGCATTTACGCTAATCTAGTATGATTCAGGGTTACTTTTTTTTTAACCTGCCATGGCCAGATTATCTAAAGATGTGTGTATTGTGTGTACAATCTATAGAAAGAGAAATGTACATCAGGTCCGATCATCCGATTTTCACGTTTCGGTTTTTTGGACTCGGTTCATGAACGTATTTTGGTTTGGCTCCTGGAATGTGCAAAAAATGACTCCCGGGACTGTCTACAGGGAACACTCGCACATTCGCGGTGTATCAGGACAGCGCGACTGGTCGTCATTAGCGCAGTAACAGTTGCATAAACGGACGAAACCATTTCAAAGAAATGGGGATGTTTCGAAAATAAGCATTTACTCCAATATCAAAACAGCTACGGTAAAAATAAAAAGACGTGCATCATCCCGGACATAATGCAACACCACATGCGAAATTACACAGAAATGCGACGTACGGAAGAATGCGTTTTGGCTGCGAACATCTTCCAAAAAACTTGGCATCTCTTAACCATGGGCAAAAACATCTGGAACCACTTATAAAAACCACCCCGTATCTGCATGAACTTTTTTGAACCCCACTGCTATTCCAAACAACGCGTTTTTCTGGACCATTCCAATTCGCCTCGTAATTGTAGGGGTGCGTCTGCGATATTACATTGACCGCGAAAGCAGCAACGGCAAAAATACACATTCGTGCATCAACACGGGCATGCCCGCAGACGGCGTATAAAATTGCGTGCCGATTACACAAAGAGAACCCAGTGTTTTGACTGCGAACATGAAAAATCAGCCGATTACAACACTCCGTCCGGAGGTCCTGACCTCCTTCACGGAGTAATGATGAAGCTCTTTCACCGAAATCATAGGGGGGGGGGGTACCGCATTAGCTACAGTTGGGACCGCATACTTTCCGCAACAGCGCCACCTAGCGGTGAGAAGTCCCTGTTAGTATAGTATCGCCCTGTAGAAGATAATACACTCACCAGTAAAACGTATTAGCGACAGAGAAAATGTGGCTGTTGTGGACATTCAAACATTGTGGTACATGTATCTGCGCCGTCTAGCGAGTTGTAACGGAACTGTCATCTTTACACGAAATGTCTCTCTTCTCGCCCCCAGCTAACATCACAGAGGAAGAGCGCCAGTGGAAAGACGACTTCTACTCCTGGCGGGGAGAGTTCATGCCGGACTGGAGATCCGCCTTCAAGGCGTTTGTTGAGCGGAAGGACAGAGAGAAGGAACGATGTGGAACTTGAAGACACTATGACCCTCAGTATCAAATGTAAAACACACTTTTTGAAAGAAAAAGTCGTAATGACAGCTCACGTTTTGTACATACTATATGTATTATATCATTTTTATGAATTGATAAGGCAGCAATGATATCGATGTTGCATCAATCAAACTAGGTACATAAAAAATCTACTATATTTACAACAGCTGTCATTTGATTGGTAGATCCATCTATTCTGTCTTATTATTATTCCTTGTTCGTTAGCTTGGGGTTTGGTTTTGATATTTCATTTAGATTAAAGCAATGTTTGGTTAACTTAAGAACTTAACCTTAAGATTTAAAAAAATCCTATGAACGAAGTCTCTTAAACATGAAGTTTGTATAAAAGAAGTTACAGACCACCACTGGTAGGCAAATTATATTTATGTCTATTAATACACACTTTATACTATTGACGCATTAGAGTCCTTGTTGTGTGGGACTCATTTTACAGATGGGAAAATTGATATCGTGAGAAGTTTTTTTACAGAATAAAGTACAGTCAATGAATTGTTAAGATCTTGTTAAGTCTATGTACATCCACAGGGCATAGGTCTCATCCTGGGTCTGTATGTCAGTCACATTTCTCAACATAAGCCAGGCAATCGACACGGGAAGTGATACGATAAATTGCCCATCGTTCGACCGTGGCAGGTTTCTGAGCTTCTGAAAATGCCAGAGTACGGCGTAATCAACCCCAGAGCGAGCTCTTTGCGCGTCGTCAGCTTGTCTAATTCATCTAGTCCTAGTCGACGATGCACCTACCAAGGTAAGACCCGGGGGATGGGGGTACACGGGGAGGCGATGTGAGTGTTATTGACTGCAGTCTTTGTAACACAGTATGCACACAGTATACGAAATATTAAACTCTTGCTCGCGAGTAAAAAAGTACTCTAACACAATATAGGTGTACTACTTCTACGTGTGACTTAGGGAATACATATATATCACCTTGTGTACATGCCCTAAAGCACAGTCCATTTCCTAGTGGCGCCAGCCTGCCAAATAAGTTATAAGACACGCGGTACGGTACCACTCCATGGTCTTTAAATTTTCTCACACTTCACGTGACCAAAAACCGCAAACCCAACTCGCCTTCAAAGAGTTACGAATGATGTTATCTTCATCCAAGCATCTGCACATGTTACAGTTTAGATTGAAATCCCACGTCGTTCTACACCAGTGGCGGTCAATTCCAATTTTCCGGCTACCAGCTGACTCCAATGTCTACAGAATTAATGACCAGCATATTTCTTTAATGCCGACCTTTCGATTCGATTTTACAGCGTTTTGCGTCGGCTTGCCGATGTCGGCTGGCGATAAATTACTTCGGGCGTGCTCGTCTGCCGAGACCGACACGATGGTGATGGATTCGTGATGACGTCAAAGCCTGAGGTCCCGGATGGATGCCTTTGCTTTTTTTTCTTTCAAAATGGCGGATGTAGAACGTGAAGAGGAAACATAAGACCGCTTCACAGCTGTGTTTCTGACATGTCGGCTATGTTGCGGTATGTGGAAAATACCGAACCGCCAGAAGGAGGGAAGGATAATATTTACTTTGTCGTTAAAATTGTTTCAGGAACAAAAACCATATGAACGTAGGAAATGGATTGTCCAGAACAGAATCCTTCTTTTCCCACGGAAACGGGTCATTTATTTTACCCCCTACCCCCAAAAATTATTTTAAAAGGAACATTTAGTGACATTGTACTGTTTGTTTTCCGATTTTTGACTAACTGTTCTTTGTCTTTTAAAGACTGACACAAAAAAATTCTCAATAACAAATTGGATATTTTAGTCGTAAGTCAAAGAAATCGACAGATATTGCTTAATTCGGAATTACGCTAATTTCTCATCGTGTCATAGTGTTGAGTGAGCGACATGCAAACATCATTCATCAAGCAAACGCTTCCTGCGACAACCTTTCGATAACTTCCGCATAGTTTGGAGCGTTATATGGAAACTGATGAAAATAAACTCATCCCCGGCCGCCTGGCCTGGTATCCATCCAATGTCGGTCATGGGAGAAGGGAAAAGACAATACTGTCGAGGCGGGACCACAGATAGCTGAATGGGCACAGTACCGACTAAGACAATAAACCTGATCTCTTATTCGTATACATTTTTAACAGTCGCAAATATCTTTCTCGCTACCTGAAATACTAAACCGACCTCTCTATATCTGACAAAAACAAACTACGGTGAAAGAAAAATTGAAGACTTCAAGCAATCTAAGCCGGAAATTGAATAGATTTGGTAGTAAAGCGAGCCAACTTAGTCCAGTGTAACGCCTGGGAAGCCCTACTACTGATCTCCAATCACTCGTAAAGTGCGTGTGTTAATAGTTGAACCTAGATACCGCCTGGAAAACGTTCAGGCACGCGCTCTGGTATAGAGGGGACATACCACGCGGGTCATTTATCTTACTACCGTATTCGGGGCATCCTCATTTGTCAGTGGGTATCCAGGAGATTATAAAGAGCGTTTCTCAGATGAATCCATCCGCCATCAAAGTGTCTGGGAGTAAAAAAAAAACGTCATCGTTTGTTTTTTTGTGATCAGGATCATTTGGTGCACAGCCGGGGGGTTCGGCATTAACCGCATGGTATATCACTGCAAATGGGACGTCGCCGCTAGAGGCTACCGGCCGTGAAATATTGACAAGAAAAACTGGCGGGCCGCTACGTTCCCCCTCTCCGCTTCTCACACAACGTCAGGGGACGGCCGAGGGAAGAGGGTGCGTGGCTCTATCCTCCTGCTGATCAAAGTAAGTAGATCGTACCACTTGTATCCACTTTTGGAAAAGGATGCACATGAACACGAGTAGCGTTGGAGGTATGACAAACAGATTTGGGTTGTCTCAATAGAGCTAGCGACTGGGTAACAGTACAAGCGGCACCCAGCACTTTTAAGAGTAACCGAAGCCATAGGTTATCCAATTGCAACCTCTTCTGTGATCTCAACATAGCTTCACTCCGGGTGACATCCCTAGTAAACAGGGGGAGAGAAGTCGTGGACTCTGGGGAAGTGAGTGGACGAAGTTATCTGTATTTTAAGATATCTAAGGTTTGTTTTCTAATTCTGACACTACGTGTACAATTCTAGACAGCCGTTCCACCGGTGCAAACTATTTCAAATTTCTTGACAAATTTTGCGTGTAAAAATCATAACTGTTTGTCTCAATTGAAAATCTTCTCCTCTTGTAGATATTCATAGTTCCTAAAGCCCCAATTTCGCATGATAGGATCTTCTCAACAAAAGTGAAACCAAGCCCACCCGGCCAACGAGGTCCTAATGGCATTCGATTAGGCCGAAATCACCGTTGGTAATCCCGTTTGAATGATTGAGTTTGGTGAATCAGAACCACTTTAGCCCGTGACTGCGTGGTGATCCCATTATTTCTGCAGACTGCGGAGTTTGTGTTGGGTATAATTGCTGACATTGTGATGAAGGCGTCGATAGATGGTGTGTGAAGGGGGAGGGGGGTGCAGGGGGAATGTGGGGCAACCGTCCAACCATAGTGCTCGTCTCAAATGTCCTTTCATCAATGATCTTTCGATATCACATGAACCATTCAGTAAGGGTTCCGTCAGGCGAACACTGTCCACATAACCTTTAACTGTTGGCATCTGGGGGAACAGCCAATCAGCACACAGGTTGTTTGTGTTACGGTTTGTATCGTTTCTCCATATAGACTAACAAACTAGTTGTTTATATGTGACGGTGCCGCAAATGTAACTGTTCTTTCACTTCAGTTAAAAACATTCTACTCCATGCAATGTAAACAGGCTACAATGCAAAGAAGAAAACAACTACCAGAGCCCCCAACTTTGTAATTCAAAGAGCTGTACGCAGTGGTTGAAATACACAATTGTAAACCGATGAATCACTACAGTAGCCAAATAGCTTTACGTTCAACAGACATAGTCAGGGTCTTTGTAAAGCTACCCAATAATGAACTGTCTTTAGATAAGCTTACAAACAGGGTCAATGAAGCTGTGACCTATATTTTGACATTGTACTGTAATCCAAATTTAATCTACCGGAAAGTATGCAAAGGGTAAAAATTCCCGCCCATCGCTTATCATGGTCGCTGAACTGAAAAGTTGATGTCATTAAATTTGAGTAAAGGGCTTTGTGAACAGATTATTCATTAACTGACATGTCCCTGTAGGGCCTGTTGGAATGCTCTCCGCGGAGCACCAATAATTGGGTTGGATTAAAAAGATCATTGCGGAGATTTTTAGTCGTTAAACAATCATTGCTGACCTATTTCTAGCTAAAAAAAAGGCATCGTGTTGATGAAGAACGATAAAATATCGACTCGTAGAAAGGGTTGAGGGAACATTGAAATGCATATTGAGTTGTACTGAGTTATAATTGGTATTACAGAGAAGTAATAGCATAGCAAGGCAGGGCTCGAAATGAAAGGTGGTCCAATGGCCACTGACCACTAAAATTAGGCTGGGACAACTAAAATGACACTTTGGTACTTTTTGAGACAATAGAAAAATAATCAAAATCAGAATGTCAGCACTTAGTCTTTTGTTTATCAGGCACACGTCCCGGCTTTTGGATCAGGAAAAGTCCCCCCAAATGTCCTGTCTACTCTGCAATATATAGTGCGCCTGGGAGTGAACACAAGCAAAATAAAGTTGACTTCAAGTTGGAGTCATACAGCTCTTCCCCGAAGCCAGGTTGGGACAGTTCATCCTCACTTTGGGACAGTTGAAATTTATTTTTAGGACAGTGGCTGGGACAACAGAAAGACAAGTTAATTTCGAGGCCTGGCAAGGTCGAGATTTGTATACCCCAAGGTCAAGTTTAAGTGTTATTTCTAACACGCCAATACGAAAAGTAAACAAGATGCATAACCTGCATAGCTATCGCTTCGTAGAAGGTGAAAAAAAACCCACCAACGTCAATTGCAAATAAACGTAATCTAGAAAAGAAAACGTCTGTGTGGTGGAAATATGTTTTAGGTTATTTAGACGTATGACCAAAGGTTGGCTGTGGTATGTCCTACCTGACCTCCAGCGGAGAGGTCAGTATGCCATTGAAGGTCATCTCTTAGGAGTGTCCGTCTCCAAGCTTCAAGTCGACACTAGAGGTGACCGGTTAATATATGAACATCAGATTCCGAATTATTTCAGTAGTTTCAAGTTAGGACCAAGTCACCAACGTCGTGCGATCGACGCACGATCACAAACTGGTCCATTTCACAGTCGTGTATGTGTCCTGCAAAGTTTAGCTGTCCTGTTACGAAAAGATTGTCTCAGGTCCTTGTACGTGGTGGGCTTTGTTACAGTCTGTTTGCAAATTCTACGACTTTAAAATCATCGCACGGCGACATTTGATGAATGTGACCACGACGCTAGTAAAACTTTAAGAAAAAGACACAGTACGATTCAGAAATTGACAATGTCTGTACAGTGTATATATACATGTATTAGACTAAGTTTTCATACGGTAGCCGTCAAACCTATCTATTCACAATTAAACTTTTAAGGTCCATCCGTCCAAAATTCAAAATTTAGGTACTCGGGAGCGTAGACGTCCCTAAAGTTAACCATACATATTATGTGCTGTAGTGGTTTATATTGTTCTGTAATACGTACAAGTCATATATGATAGAGACAGGACGAGCCCAAATGTCACGCCCGGCATCTAACTTCATCTCTCAACTTTTAAGGTCCATCCGCCCAAAATTCAAAATTTGGGATCGAGACATCCCTGAAGTTAACCATACATATTATATGCTGGAGCGGTTTGTATTGTTATGTGATCCCTACAAGTCATATATGATAGAGGGAAGGGGGGGGCGAGCCCAAATGTCACGGCCGGCATCTAACTTCATCTCTCAGCACAGCCCTATCAAGTGACGCCCGCTGCACCAGCCACACTGAGAACGGGCAGGGCGGGGACCGGGCAGAGGCATGCGGGCTCCATCAATCTTTCTGTAGTGACGACGCACTCGTCAGTATAAAACAGCAGGGGGTGGAACGATAGAAATAGCGTAGTAGGAAGCTAGATAGCTAGCTAGATAGCTAGATAGCTAGCTAGCTAGATAGCTAGATAGCTAGATAGATAGCTAGATAGATAGATAGATAGATAGATAGATAGATAGTTTCAACCATACTGTAAATCCTACAAAACAGTTGCAAAATGAGCAAATATACACCGTAAGTTGAAACAAAATGGAAAATGATGTACCAATGTCGTAGAATTCCAAAATCATTGTGTCATTTGTTCAACCTTCACAATCACGTAGATTTCATAATGAAAGCAACTTTTTTTGGCAAACGTTTTTATGCGCACGCTCGCATCAGTTTTGGGGTTCCCAGAGGATGTCATCCATATAATCAAATCAATATGGCCTTATGTCAATATAAAAATGTCTGAATGTACACATGCACACTGCATTCTTTCTCTTGTAAGACACTGGACTTCTTCACATTACCCACATTCTCAGCAGCAGTGATGAGTACAGACTTTATCTGCATTGTAGGGAACGGATTTCTACACGCAGATAGCATTTTTTCCTGTACTAATATTTTGTTTGGTCAGTCTTTAGTTTAGAGCACAACAGTGACGACGCTTTAATGCCATGAATAGTGAATTTTTCACGTCTAACGTGTTTCCGTGCTACCTGGTGGTCGATACGCTGCGACCAACGGAGTGAGGTACAACTAAACACTGGTGGCACTTCTACCAGTACTTGGGGGTTAGATTAAACAGAACATGTCGCTCTCTCAAATGTTTTGACACACTCTCACGTATTTTGACACAAGGTCAAATCAACCGGAACCGCAACAAAGGTATTCTTGAGTTGGCTGTTTATGTGACGTTCCAAAGAATCAGTGAGTAGTACCTCAGGGTCAACACCTGTCTTTATAGACTCATGTATTATTGTTGACAGGATAACAGACCCACTCAGTAAGCCTGGTTCAACAGGATAAACAATGACATACTTGGCAAAGGCCGTGGTAGTTTCTGAGGAAGAATTTAATATTAAGTGTTTGGCTCGCACGAAACGACATAGCAAAGAAACTACCGGAAGCGATGGAATCAAGGGGTATGTTAGATGTTGGCTTGACACGCAACAAACGGGTCCGCCTTCCCTGTCTGTTCATCAATGTGTGAGGAAGTTTCACGGGCGAGCTTTGCGAAGTGCTACACAAAAACAGGTATTTGGCAGCGTATTTTGAAAATTCAGCAATCTTTTATATGTAGTACTAATAATTGACCTAATAACAGTTGTGCACGCCGACTTCTACGAAAAGGTGTATAAATGTGGCATTTATGTGAATTTGATGAAAAAATCGAAACAATATAACATAATATGCCTAGAACACAAATTGAAAGGCTATACTGGCAATTTGAGAAAAATGTGAAATCATGTACACAAACAAAAACTGCGAAATTATCTAAAAACTGGAGGGGAGCGATTTTGATTGACAAAATTGGGAGTTAACTGTCCCAGACAGAGGGCACAATTCAAATTACAGTTTAATGGACAGTGAGCAAATAGGACAAGGACACACATACAAAGAAAAGATTGCAGCGTTTGGTGTCCAGGGTTTCTCTTGATCTGTTCAGTATCCCCATTTCACGATTCCCATGCCATTTCTAAAAAAATTCTCCTTTTTTAAATGCTTTTATCAGTAGCCATTTCTTGAAGTTGCTCCACCAAATTCAACTAAAATGCCATTTATATCCCGGTGGCTACAGTGTTCTTAATGGAGCCTTGAGTCGCCTTTTCTGGTACTAGTATATGTTCTTGTCGTGTTTAACCAAAACAAACGTATGTCTGTTTGTCCTGTCGCCTGTAGGTGGCAGCAGAGTGTCTCAGAACGTAACGCTGGTGCGGATGATGCGGGTGAGATGGCAGCGATGTGGGATTACTGGTTCTTCTTACTGCTGGTGAACCTCACCGTGCATACATGGACCGCCGTGGCACAGAGTAGCAGCGGGCCCATCGTCACAACACTGCAGGGGAGACTACAGGGAAAGGTACTGGACGTCGGAGGGAGGACGGTCAACGCCTTCCTCGGGATTCCTTACGGCGCACCTCCCGTCGGGCCCCGAAGATTCAAGCCGCCCATCGCGGCGGAGCCGTGGAACGGCGTCTACAATGCGTCGTCCTACCCGAACACCTGTATGCAGCTTCCGGACACTACGTTTCCCGGGTACAGGGGTGCGGAAATGTGGAACCCGAACACTCCGGTGAGCGAGGACTGCCTGTATCTGAACGTGTGGCAGCCGTCACCGGTTCCGGTCGGCGCCACGGTCATGGTGTGGATCTACGGAGGAGGGTTCATGTCTGGGACGTCCTCCCTGGATGTGTACGACGGCAGATACCTCGCCGCCACGCAAGGTGTCATCGTCGCCTCCATGAACTACAGGACGGGGGCGATGGGCTTCTTGTCGTTCGGGAACTCGGAAGCGCCCGGTAACGCGGGGCTCATGGACCAGAACTTGGCGCTCACGTGGATCAAAGAAAACGCCGCGTCCTTCGGAGGCGACCCGAATAAAGTGAGCATCTTCGGCGAGAGCGCGGGAGCCGCTAGCGTGAGCTATCACCTGTTGTCTCCGATGAGCAAAAACTTGTTCCAGGGAGCTATCATGGAGAGCGCGTCGGCGCTGTCTCCGTGGGCGCTGCTCTCGGACGCGGAGGCGTCCACGCGCGGGGTTGAGCTCGCCAAGGCCGTCGGTTGCTCCACGGACTCAGACGTAGAAAAAACCATCGAGTGCATGCGAGGAGTTCCCGCGCGTACCATCGCTGAAAACGACTGGGTTGTCTGGGGTCTGTGTCAGTTCGCGTTCGCTCCCGTTGTGGACGGGAACTTCATCAGAGAGCACCCGACTCAATCCCTTGAAACTGGCAACCTCAAACAGACAGACGTCATGGTCGGGTTCAACAAAGACGAGGGGGTGTACTTTCTTCTGTACGGAGCCCCGGGCTTTAGCAAAGACACACAGAGTCTCATCACACGTGAACAGTACTTAGAAAACATCAAGATGTCGGTGATGGGGATAAACGAGATTTCCGTGGACGCCCTATCTTTCCAGTACACTGACTGGGTCAACTTCGACCAGCCTTCCATGTACCGGGACGCCATGGACGACCTTTCGGGCGACTACAACTTCATCTGCCCGGCTCTGTCGTTTGGGAAAGGGATGGCGTCTTTGGGAAGGAAGAATTACCAGTACAAGTTTGTTCACCAGGCCTCTAACTTCCCGTGGCCCAAGTGGACCGGCGTTATGCACGGCTACGAGTGTGAGTTCGTGTTCGGGCTTCCGACGGACCAGAAGAACAACTACACCCAAGAAGAGGCCGTGTTTGCCACACAGATTATGACGTACTGGGCTAATTTTGCGAAGACAGGGTAAGTAGAGACAACCTTAACATTTGCTCTCTATATCTAAGATTCATATTCAACAGTTTGCATGTGTACAAGGTGTTCATTAAGTGACTACCGTCACAAATACCATTCAAATCCATATCCATTCATACCCATCCAAGTGTAACCATCCAACATGGCGGACAATACCTACGCAATAGTCACGTACGTGAGTGCAAACACCCTATAGAAAGGTTACAGGGTTGGTGCACTAATGAACAATTCAAGAAGACACGAAAGTGTGCCAAGGTAAACGGCATTAGCAACGATAACGGCACAGCAACAAGTTCTACTGTAGCAACTTTTCGTAAGCAAATTCTGCTTTGTCCTACCCTTGGGTTCATCTTGTGTATTGTGTTGAAATCTTTATTTCAGCAATCCCAACAAGCAGACCCTGGAAGACCCTGCGCCGGACGTGTGGCAGCCCTACACAGAGGAGGGACAGGAGTATTTCATTCTGGATGTAGGGGGAAACCGGATGGCCAACGGTCCAAGGTCCAAGACCTGTGCATTCTGGGACAACTATCTGTGGGAACTCGACAGGAAGACTGGTACGAAGTCTAGCATACTAGTTTATCTGAGTTCTTAAATTACAAAATGTGAGATAAAGTGTTCTCCCACCTCAAAAGAATTCGACTCACCAGACTGTTGAAGAAAGAGAGAGTTATTTTTTTTTAGTTGGGGAACAGTTTATTTCACATTATGGCACCAAGTCTTTGGCATATTTTCTTATATTTTGCCAATTGTAAAATTTAACGCCTTTTTGTCATTTCTGAAATTCCTTTCCAACGATGTTGAACGTACGTTATACGTTGTATCCTGACTCTTATGTATATTGACGCTATCTCCCATTGACATTAGACACAGTGCAATAGAACTTTAAATTTATATATCTTGTGTCGATGGGAAACGTTAAGATGTATAAGAGACAGGATATGTGAATAATGTATAAAGTGCGTACGACATTGCTGTAAAGGAGTTGGAAAAATTAGTGTCATAGATCTACATCCTTTTTTGGCAGTCCGGTCTTTGGAGACCAATTGAACTTTCAGAATATGAACGGCCTGGTGTAAGAATAGCTCCAAACCAAACTCAGACTAGATAAGAGGAACGACGCCGTCTAAAACGGGAGGCTGACTAAGCTTAAACAAACTCTGCAAACCTAATTGGCAGTGCCGTGTGAGGGTGACTTATCACCGCCACGGCACATAAAGTCTGTTTGCGTGTCGTAGCAGTTCGCGGTGATGACGTAATTAGAATCCCAGGCGGCGAGAGTTTTACGTCATGTGGAGATTAAACAGTCTATATATACCGTCTGCAATCACACTGGGGCTGAGAGGGCCTTCGGAGGTCATGTTGGGACATATTTTAGGTGCTATTTTCTGCGTCTTCACATTTGTGACGTTCCGCGTTAACCGCGTGGAATCCAAAGTATTCCTCCGCCAAACAGTCACGTCTATCACGTATACTTACAGCTATTTCCAAGATGCGATAGTAAAAAAATGGGGAGAAGTATTCTTACCCGTTTACTTAATTTTTCAGTTCGTTTTCAGTTTTTCGTCCGCACTTGTAATATTGGGTACCGAAACTATGATGGGAATCATATTGGCGTAACGGCTGGATCTTACATGTAAATGGCAAAGATCCTAGTCAATTGAATAGACTAATGCTATAAACACAGTCCAAAACACATTTTACTTTCTAATATACTGTATCACAACCACAGTGAAACAATTAGTCTCAATATAACACCAAAGACGTACTTCAGAAGTTAGTATTATTCTTTCTCAGGGAATTAATTGAAATGATTGAATCCAGTTGGTTTTGTAGAAATCAAATTCTTGACACACACACACACACACACCCACCGTACCCTTTCCATTTAAATCCAGTGGCCAATTTCGGGTTAAATTTCTTGCTAACAGTGATGACTATATGCTACAGAAAGCTGAGTGAGTGACTATGAAATATATAGGAAGGTACACAAATCATTTGAGGAGTTTAGACCCTCAAGATACAGAGATTTCGGCACCTTTGTCAGAGACTTCTTGTTATGTAAATGAGCAATATATATATATTGAAAAACTACTACAGAGCGACTCATAAAAATTGAAAAGCATTGTCCTGTCAGCTCTTATGATATTTGTGCTAACACATTCATTATATTCTAAGAAAACAAATTCTAAACATCATACATACAATGTGATTGTAACCAACCTGTTGTTGTTGACCAAGTCGGTGGAAGCCCTCCCCACGTAACATTCAGCGGGCAGTGAACTCTGGGATTGTTGGAAGGGTCCTCAGGGGATTTCAGGAACCCGGTCGCTAACACTAAGTAATGTTCTTGCTACGTTTAGGCTTCAACTTTGGTAAATTTGGCAAAAGAAAATGCATCCAAGCATAGAAATATATTCTCCGGAATTTCAAAACCCTCTTCCTGGCTGGAGTACTCCTGCAAGATTCACGTTTTCGTCAGAACGCGGGATATAACCAAGGACATTATTTAATATCCTTGATCTGATGTATGAAAATGCATATGCTCTGTAATATAGAAAGTTTATTACAAATACATGCCCAAGGGCTAATTGCAGAATGATACAATTACAAACAACATGATTGTGTGAAAAAGAAAATGCAATGCTATGAGAGACTATTTGCTGTTGCTTGGTCCCAACTCTTGTTGCTGCTAATTATATGTTTTGTTGTTGGTTTTACTCCACAGATGACCTGATGCAACAAGCACAGTCCTGTACGAACGGCGCCGAAGTTCCTGGAGCTTCGACATGCATCTATACAACCATAGTCAGCACCGCCATCTTGCTTTTACTCAACAGCGCCACCACGTTACTGTGATGGGAACTGCATGGACATTGTACATAGAATCTAGTACGAAGAAAAAGCAGCGCATTGATACTGTTCTAATGACATAGCTGATATAAATAAGACAAGGACAAATCTAGAAACATTTGGTTAAGACAGTAAAGTTAGAACGGCAACGTGTTAGATTTTTGGCGACAGATTGTCAAGGAAATATTATCATTTTGAAGATGTGATAGAACTCAATTTAGAAACTAGAATCTACAGCTTTTGGGGCCAATTTACAACATCTTTAGTAGAGTTAGTGTCACTAACCCACAAGGTAAGATTGTTGGGGTGTTCTATATGTTTTGGTTGTAGTCATAATAACAATTATTCGACGAAAATTAAGATAGATGCAACTGTTGAAAGATTTCAACACTAATTCATATAAAAGCACAAACAAAGTAGTGAATCAGCATGAAAGTTCATCTGAGTTGGTAAATTACATTATGAAGTGAGTCAAATTTTGAGTTGGAGAACAGTTTAAGTTTTTCATAAAGTAGTGAATGTACAATGTTTCAAAAACATTTCATTCAGTCACATATTAATATTAGAGCCCCTTTTAATTAAGACTTTGAAAATTAAGACTTCATCACTGCCATTCATTGTTATTTTGAAACAGCTTTGCTGAGATATGTAGTTCATGTGTTACCCAAAACCTGACTACCTGGTAGTGTTAATAATTATACTAGTGCGATTAACATGAAAGATATGGATGTGAAATAGATATTAATGTAGGTACAAACGCCTACTATCATTACTATGAATGTCAGTTCGAATTTTTTTCTCTGTACGTATAGTTTTAAAATGGCTGTAAGACATACTAGAAACACAGAGGACAAGGGTGAACATGTCAGTTATGACGTAGACGACATGGTCTCAGAAAAGGCCAGGAATAGACAAATAAAAACTCTGGCCTTATAGGTCCCTCCTAAAAAAATTCATAACGAAGTCCTGATACTTAACAACAACAAGTAAAATAAGTAAAATTTTCGCATACTATTATTTATGTTTTGGCCGTTGAAAGAATGGCTGTGAACATTAGAAAAGTAAATAACAAGTCGGCGGAGGAATATTTTGGATTCCACACTGTTAACGTGGAACGTCACCAATGTGAAAACGCAGCAGAAAATAGTTCCCAATACTGCCCCGGCCGGATAGTCCCTCTAGCCAATTTGTAGTTGCTGTAACTATAAACAGACAGTTTAATCTTGAAATGACGTCAGACTTGGATCTCTTGGGCTCCTCATGACGTCATCGTCACCGCAACGATACGCAAAGAGAGCTTCTGTGTCATGGCGGTGACAAATTACCATCACACGGTGCTGCCAGTTAGGTTTGTAGCGTTTGTCCAAGCTTAGTCAGCCTCCACTTTTAGACAGCTTCGTTTTCTTATCAAGACTAGCTATGTTTAGTTTCTGTTTTGTTTATTTTTGTAAGATCTGGAATAACATTACAAGCGTACTGTTTCTAATGTATCTGGATATGTACATGATCAGCTTTTGGATACTGCACTTGACTGAAAGTTATAGAGTGCAGTACATGTATTTGGTTTACTATAGCGTTGGCTCTAGATTACATTTTTAAATGTGGAGGCATATAATAATAGCATCTCTCTCACAATGAATAGTTAAAACAACTCTGCTTAGACACAGATCTTAATCCGGTCAGACGCCGGTTTTACACTGACAAATAAAACATTCTAAGCCACAAGAAGTGTGAAGACCAGTCTGGACTTGTTCACTCCGCGCATGGTGGTGATCAGGCTCTCGGTTGTCATGGACTGGACGTTCCACTCCAAGTCGCCGTTGTATTCCTCCGCTTCGAAAGGCCGCTGGTCCAAAGAAGACAGTGCGATCTCATCGGCCGGCTGTAGGAACACAGAAACAAGTAAGACCCTTTTTTTTTTCAAGACCGTAAGAAAACTTGTACAAGCATACCTTGTAGAAACATCTCTACATCTCTTTGTTGTGGGGTCGTATGGCGTAGCGGCAGAGTGCTCGACTCGGAACCAAGAGGTCCCGCCTTCCTGATATGCCACCGATCTTCTGCCCTTGGGAAAAGCACTTTACACGACTTTTCTCACTTAACTCAAGTGAGAATGAGTATTGTCCTGTCTTGTGTTTGTACTCTGTGTTGGTGGCGGTATAAAATAAGTTGATATAACTTGAGTGTGCCGTCGCCATATTTGGTCATTAATTGTTGGAGTATAAAAAAAAGTTGAAAAAAAAAATGAAAAACATCTCTAAGACTTCAGTCTTCAAGACCTCAAAGAGTCAGGCTCGCCAAATTTTCTACCATACACCTTGGGATTTCTTTGAGACTCATAATCTCTGGACACGTGGTCTTGGCGGAGGCATGACGGGACGGAGGAAGACACAGATTTCTAGGTTTAACTATCTTTATTTCAATTGTCCAATCGCTTCCTGTACGCAGTAGCTTAGCCTGCTATGCTATAGGTAGGTGTGAGTTTTTCAGAAGAATGTTCATTATCATATAGTAAGGTCTTCAATGAGTCCTGAATATTAGTCTGTTCTCTACCTGTACACCTTTGACATGATCCAGTATTCTTCTTACCTTGTTCCACGACTGGAACACCACCTGACAGTCCCAGTCCGAGTCTGACCGTTTCCTACAGGGCACAGTGAAGGTCCAGGGGACGACATACCGCACGGTTCCGTCACTAAAGATGGACGCTTCTGTTGTCAGGGGCAACGGCATCTCCTCTGCCTTAACACTGCAAAACAAAAACGGATACAATCTCCCTTACTGAAATATGACGACTGTTTGGCAAAGACGCAGGCGATCTTGTCATCAGGACGTTCGCCTTACCCAAAAAGTTACCAAAAAGTTGCCCAATTTCAAATCTACGCAAGGAGATTATCTCCCCTATAACCTTATCTACGTAATGATAAAGTGGGGATGTATGTCATCGATCAGATGACAAATCTAATACAAAATGAAAGGACTTTGCACATGTGTCGAGCAGCTGTACAATATTAGAACGCCAACTAAAACTGTCCTCTCACCCTGATATCAGGTAGATGTCAGGCGTCCACAGCCTCTTCACCGCTACGTCCAGCCTCTTGTGTCCCCATTTCTCAAATTTCAGCCTCTGATCAGTCCATTCCTGTATCATGGTAGAATTTTACATGTACATTTACCCAAACTTTTATATAGACTGCTGTTACATAATTTGTTAAAATGTTGTGCAAGTCTAAAATACGTGCACTTTATTTCATCGTGTTTTTGGCAAAGCCTCTTGGGCGGAGGTATATATAAAGTTTACACATAAGGTAGCTAATGAATGATAAAATACGTGCTCATGGTGAATCTAATCCTGATGTGATGATATCACTTACAATTTCTTAAAATCGCTGTGCGATGATGTTCGATTATAAAAGTAAAAATAAGTAAAGGAATCAAACCTACCATACGGATCCAGGTATGAAGGGTAAAAAGACTCGCATTTTCTTCGTTCTGCAAAATGAAACATGAGATACGCGTGAATCATCGATCATCAAAATATGTAATGGAAATCTCTCGATGATTTTCTTCTCAAAATAACAGCTTGTAGTATGTGTGAAACAGTCCCGTATACTGACATGAAATGCAAAAAAAAATCTAGTGTTAGATGTAGTGTACATGGTTATTATGACGACTTGATATGTTGAGATTTAAAGGTAAATTTTACATACAGGTCTCAAGGTTGCCCGGGGTGTTAGTCCTATCCTGACGGAGGTTTGTCCCACGTCTGGTCGGTCCGTCTTGTAGTACTCCTCGATCTCCAGGAGGTTTACAAGAACAAAGGATGGAGACGGATGTGAAGAAGGAGGATCAAAAGGAGTAGGCCGCGGCCGGTCGGTAGCAGGAGTGGGGGTAGGGGCAGGGGTAGGGGTAGGGGTAGGAGGAGTGGTGGATCCAAAGCAGACCTCCTCGTCTTCTGTCGGAAGTGAGTCGCACTCCAGCGACGTCGGCCATTGGAATCCAAATTTGTTCATCAAAGCCTCGCAGCCAGACCTAGCCTCTCGGCACAGGCTCCTGCAAGGGCGCGGGGGTTTGAAGTTCCATCTCGAGTCGCAAGGTGGCGCGTACATGGCGCACAGGAACTTCTTGAGGTATGGGGAACACTGGACTTTTATCAGTGGAAAGAACTGGTGAACCTCAAGTCCAGCGGCTTGTTGTCTGACATGACCAAGATTATTTGGGAAGACAGTGGTGTTGTAGTCCAAATTATCTTTACACAGCGGTATGGTGATTGGTTCACATGGATCTGAAAGGATAAACATGGAATAGGCCTTATAACGTCACAAAGGATAAAGTATGGGGGAATAAACTTACATATCCGAACATGGCCTCCCGAACACATGCCGAACTCTCCCTAGTTAAGAGTAGGTCGGGAGCAAGTTCGGCTTGGTCAGCTGGTGTTCGGCCGGGTCGGCTACTGTTAACATGTTCAGCTACCTACATTCAGTACACAGTGAACCAGTCATAATTGCCCTGATGAAGAAGATGGATGTTAAACAAGTATATAGACGTGGATGTACTATGCAGACCTGGTTTAGGTGTGACCGTGAGCCATGTGTGTTGATAGGAAAAGCCAGCCGCGCTCGCCGCCATGCAGGTGTACTGTCCCGCATCCTCCTCTGTAATGTCCCTCAGCACAAGCTTCTCCATGTCTTCCAATGTGGTGGTCTCCGATGTCTGTATGATGAGGATATCAAAACAACACAACTAAGTCGGTATGTAGAGTACATGGTGCCTGTTGGTGACAATCTGTAATCGTGCTAAATGCACATTTTAATATCAAAGCAGATGTAAGAAGGCAAAATCGTGAGCTAGGACAACGTAAGGATTTTCCTCCTATCTGCTTTGAGATTAGGCGAATGTCTTAAACTGTAATTTGGTCCATCACATACCGTTGTCACGTATTATTAGTATTTTCATCTTCTAATATATGTTGTTTGTCTATGTGTTAGTCTGTTTTACTGCAGGGGGGAGGGGGGCATACCTTTAACTCCGTGGTGCGTGGTTCACTGACGTAGGCACCGTTCACTAGGTTATGTTTGAGCCACCGCATGTGTGACGCGGCGGCGCCTGTACTGAGCACCTTACACCGAAACTCCACAGTACTCCCCACCGCCGCTGTCACATTCTCCGGCATCCCGGAGTCCAATATGGGCCGAGTGTCTAGTCGTTCTGTTATCATAACAAAAACACAACTTCTTATACTGTATCTGTATCTGTATGGGCATAGCTGGTATAACCGCCCTTCGGCGTAACACGTACACCAGCTACTACTAATAATCAAAGAATACCTCATTATGGTGCTTCTTGCATTCGCCTTTGCCGTTAATTCTTAAGTGCGTGTCAAGGGAATTTTTGTAACGTGCCTACATCACTGAAATGGCTGCATTATTACTTACCATTTGACAGGCTATAAGATCTAAGTTAATCTATCGAAATCATATGGATATTAGCTCAAGTACAGATTATATACACATACTATATACATAATAGACTACAGGACCGGGGATGACACAGAGTATCAACGAAACCCTATGCATATACGATGTAATAACTATGGTTAGTATGTCACAGTCTGGACTCCATTGCTGATAATATTTACCTTTGACAAACAAGTCGAAGGAGCGAGCGAGGCTGCCGTAACTGTTCACGACCCTACAGGTGTACGAGCCTTCATCTGCTGATGTGGCGGCGTCGATTACAAGGGTCCAGCGCTTGTCAATGATCTGCGAGGGCAAAGACACGTGTCGAGTAAAGCCGTCCTAGACAGAGCTCATGATTTAGTCTGATCTATCCGAAAGGACCCGTTTTCTTATGCCAGGCCTGACGTGTATTCGTGAGGCAACGACCCTGGCGCGGTATCGTGGGATCCGTGCTGCGTTTTCATTGGTCAACAGTCAGCCAATCAGCTGCCCCTTTCTGTTGTTGTAGGGAGAGTTACCAGCCAATCACATTGTCTCGTGGTCGTAGGCGGCGATGTGATTGGCTGAGAATGCCTCACCAGCTGTCACGCAACGAGAAGCACAGATGAACCTATGCCGATACGCCGAGGTCGTTGGTTCACATATACAAAGCTGGCTAGACATGATAGGATGAAACGACTGAATCAGATTCAGACGAAGAAACTTCAAAATATCTGATGAAACTCTTTGAAAATGTCTTTAAATGATCTACAGTCTCATATACTTCTTTAACATAAAAATTACAGATGCCTTGCTCATACCCTTAAGCCTTGTGTTCTGTCAGCTTCTTGAATCTCTTGGAAGTTCTTCAGCCATGTGATGGTCGGACGGGGGTTGCCTGTGACAGGGCAGCGCAGTCGGACCGGCTCCCCGACAAAAGCCGAGATGCGGGAGTCGTGTCGCGGGTTCTGCCACGCTGGAGCGCCAAAAGGAACTAACGAAGTAGAAAAAAAAATACACGATAATTGAGTACTAAGCAAATGCTGTCGCACCACAAACATGTTTTTATTTATTTTTTTATGAAGTTATTTCATGTTCAGCCAATTCATTACAGCAATACACGATCACAATTCAGTTAACAGATGACTCAAGAAATGGGCAAACTAAGCGTCAAACATGTTTATGTTTTTAACGTAAACATCACCCGACTTTTTACTGGCAACCTTTCGTGCAGTGACTATCGGGCGTTGTGATTTGGCCTTTCTGCAACATGTTTGGCAGTAAGTTGGCCCACTTCTTGAGTCATAGGTTGACTTCGTGCAGTACGTGCAGTGTATAAAAATGTGGGTGCAACTTTGATTGAGGGATATACCGTCGTGTCTTTGTTAAAAATTCCACACATCTAATCAAAAACAATCATATATCAAAAGACGTGCACAGAAGGGTTATAATCTTGAATATGCCTTTCAGTAATATTTCTAATCAACATCAGTCTGTAAAAAAGCAACAACCGTTTCAAACTATGTGTATTAACAGCATAGTCACGTTTCCCTGTACACATGTATGTCTCACGCTCCTCCGCAGCGTCCGCTAGCTATCCACATCTGGGCGCGCGGCGGGGTCCCCAGAGCAACACAGTGCGGAAGCATTAGCGTGTATTTGTGTCCTGGGGCCGAGAACGCATTTTGCGCAAAGCATGCTGGGTAGCAGAGTGAACTGTCCTGGGGACGAGAGTTTGTAGCGCGGGCGTGGAGAATGCCAAAACTCCCTCCGTGGCTAAGTTCCTTCCGCGACTAACTCCCTTCTGGGCAAATGTAGAGGGATAACGGTACACCCTCATAGCGTCACCAAATGAGGTACTTTGTAAAGGTCCGTTTCATTTGGTATATATTACCATTGTGACAGCATTTTATACCCCAAAATAGGAATCTTGCGTCTTGTTTTAGGTCCCGATAGTAGAAAGAATGCAGTGTACATGTATTCAGATGGCCGCCGTGTAACGTTACGTACTAGCGAGCGCGCACGACAATACCGCCAGAGTAGAGTAGGTTATCATAACTCTTTAGAAAGCGCAAAGAAAACAAAAACGACAGATTTGCATTAAAGAAAGTTTATTTTCCATAGCCTGGGCTAAGCCACGATCTATAACCTACGGCTTCTCCACGGGCGCTGGGGACGAGCGTGTGTATGTCTGGAGTTTTCCTCATTTCAACTCTCAGTATCCTTACCGTCGCTATCGATGCTGGTGTAGGTAACGAGGGCCTGCATGGGTGGGGGGTGGGGGGTGGGGTCCCGACAACGCTCTACGCTAAACTTTGAGAGTTACGCTACAATAGCGATTACGCTATACGATAAATTGGCTACAACGTATGTAGAATTAAAACGCGAATTACGCTCTACGCAAAATGCTACAAATAAGCTCTACGTTGAATTAGAGTGTACGCTCTACGTAGAACTAAAACGGCCGATTACGCTCTACGCTCTACGCTCTACAAAAGGCGTATTCTGTGCTACAACGGATTGATCTATGAACGCTTACCAGATGCCCCGGCCGCTGATACAAGCAGAAGCACTACAAACACCAACGTCCTCATTGTAACGTCGTCCTTCCAACAATACGTAGGAGGAAAGTTCCAAATGTGTCTCCTTTGTGCAGTAAAAGTCCTGAGTTTATCATTAAACGCTAGACAGTCTGTCCGTACTTAGCAACTTGTACCCTGGTGGTCCCTTATCTGATAATCGGCCCATCCAGTCCAGTGTCGTGTATGTAAATCTTATTTTTAAACCTCCTTGTGTAAACTAACCCCACGCTAACCCCACTCCTCTAATACTAGGACAAAGACCAGATGGCTGATATTTCCATTAGATGTTTACAGTAGTTGGAGCAGTCACCGTTCTTCATAGCCTGGATGTCAGACTGTTTCCAGGGACTACAGAGGCCTGAGCCCCTCGGCTACACGCTCAACATGTCCCCAATAAAAGTTTGACATCGCCCGCAAAGCGGGCCTGGTGCCAGCCTGTGTTGCGACTGTAAACAGTTTGGCATCCAGGCTATGAAGAACGGTGACTGCTTCAAAACTACTGAAATACCCTGAAAAATAACAGTCTATCGTCCAGGCTATTAACAACAGTGACTGCTGGAAATAAGCACATAGGCCTATGCTAAAACCTCAGACGCCAAACTCAGCCATCTGGTCTATGTCTCGGTAAGAGGAGTGAGGCTAGCGTGGGGTTTGTTAGTTTGGGATTTTGGATGCTGTTAGTGTTATACGTTAGAGGTGTGTGTGTTTGTGTGTGTTTGTTTGTGTGTGTGTGTGTGTGTGTGTGTGTGTGTGTGTGTGTGTGTGTGTGTGTGTGTGTGTGTGTGTGTGTGTGTGTGTGTGTGTGCGTGTTTGTGTCTATGTGCGTTGAATATGGATGTAGACACACAGATGTAGTACAGACACTTAACATATGAATATAAACAGATGACATAGAGACAATATGATATTTTGTTCTATACAAAACTTACGACAGTCTTCCTCGTCGCTGCCATCATCGCACTCCGAAAGACCATCACATTTCCATTTCAGGGGAATACAGTCCACATGACCAGTTCTACACGTGAACTGGTCAGGGGCACAGGTTCGGGGATCTGCAAATATTAAAATAGTAACTTCGACAAATGCTATACACACACAAACACACACACGTATTCATTCAATGACTATTTCTGGACCTGCTACAAACGGGGTACCTGTGTATCTTTCAACTTTTTTCTGTTCCAACATTTATTACAAAACATGGTGACGGCACACTCAAGTTTTCAACTTATTTTCATGCCACCAAAAACACATGAACAGGCAACAAACATACTAATCTGCACCTGAGTAAGGTGAGGAAATCCGTGAAAAAGGGCCTATCCCAAGGGCACAGGATCGGTGACATGGCAGGATTCGAACTCGGGACATCTTGGGTCCTAGCCGAACGCTCTGTCGTTACGCCACACGACGCCACACATTTCATCGTTTGGAGACAGTAACCTATCCTACCTTTAACAACAGTAGTGCTAACAGTGGTTTTCTCCGTCTGTTGGGTCCACAGCCCGGTCTGACTGGTCGTTCTCTCGCTGCCGGTCGGCTCGGGTGGTCGCTCGGTACCAGCACAGGTTCGCCCGTCTGCGCGCAGGTCCATGCCGGTGGGACAGCCGCAGGACACGCCGCCGGGCCCGTACAGACACAGGTGTTCACAGCCGCCGTTCTCATCAACACACGGGTTCCAGCCTGAGGGAGGAGGTACAGTTTTTTCTCTTAATGCCCACGGTCATTATAATAACCATTAATGCATTCTGGCATACTTATACTTGTACTCACTTGAGTGAAGTAATGAAAGTCGTGTAAAGTGTCTTTCCCAAGGGCACAAGATTGGTGACGACTTGGCAGGATTCGAACCCAGGACCTCTTGGTTCTGTACCGAATGCTCTGCGGTTACGCCACACAAACCCAGGTCTAGCTTTGATATTATGACATTACCGAATCCCTCCGCGTATGTCCTGATTCTGTACGGGTCATAAGGGTAAGTCCAAAAATGATAAAACTACGTCGGTGAAGGTTAGACAATCCAGGTAATAAGATACGCCAAAAAAGTTACCAAGCAACTGGATATGATTTTAGAACCGTCAGGCGTTTCAGGTAGTATCTTTTGTAACTAATCCAGTGTCGCTGACGAAAGGTAGTGGATATTTTACCTGAAGCGTATGATCGTTTCCAAAATCATATCTAGTTAGCCTGGGTACCATCCTGGTTAGTTTACGTCCGCTCCCACAGTCGCTCCTGGTTGGTGGGAGCGACTGTAGGAGCGGACGTAAACTAACCAGGATGATACCCAGGCTAATATCTAGTTGCTTGGGCAAATCTTTTTGGGGCATTGTATCATTAGTGAGGCAAAGGCAAAGGGGCTTACGTCATGTAAGACATTTCAAGACATGCTAAGGTCCAGAGGGAAGGCTATTTCCTTTTGTAATATCATGGAATTATAAAATACAATAACCCTTTTTATGAATTATTCTACCTTCCGTTCTCTGCACGTTCACTGCCTTCAGTCCCATGAGATCGGGAAGCTGATCCAATATAACCTGTCGGTCCTTTCCTGTGGTCTTGTGTACGCGCTCTATGCTGCGTCTCTGCCAGTCCGTCCAGTAGACGTAATCACCTATAACATATTGCCATTGATATCATAGATATATTGCCATTGATATCAGAAACAAATTGCCATTGATATCATAGATATATTGCCATTGATATCAGAAACATATTGCCATTGATATCATAGATATATTGCCATTGATATCAGAAACATACTACGTTGATATCATAAACAAATTACCATTAATATCATAAACATATTGCCATTAATATCAGAAACATATTACCATTGATATCATAAACATATTGCCATTGATATCATAAACATATTGCTATTGTTATCACAAACCTACTAGGCTAACTACATGTTCAGTGCTTTTGGGAGAGAAAACGTAAGCTTAAGTCATAGAAAATACATGCGTCGCTGAAGGTTAGACATCTAGGTAATGAGATACACAAGGAGAGTGTTACTCATCCAATTGGATAGCTTTGTACGTGTAGATTTATGTATGTATGAACGACAAAGGACATAGAGTAGGTGTGTGGCTGTTGCTTGTGATTTCTTACGTACATACCCAACAGGCTGAAGCCAAAGATGTGCGGTAGGTTTTTATCCAACAGAACTCTGCGGTCTGTCCCGTCCAAGTTGGCGTACTCGATTTTGTTGGTTTTCGCATCGGCCCAGTATATCTTCCTGGCCGTGTAGTCGATGGCCAGCCCGTTAGGCCAGCCCAGAGATGTCTGGACCAGAACACGGCGACTGCTGCCGTCCAGCCCCGCCCTCTCGATTTTAGGTTCTTCGCCCCAGTCTGTCCAGTACATGTATCTGAACCACATTTGTTTTGGGGATGAAAGACATTAAAAACATTAGATGTTATATATCGACAAACTGGCTGCCCAGGGCGATAGACAAACAAGAATATGGTGCGCAATAATATCCAATGCCAGCACGTAACTCTACACCATACAGTCACGAAGACTAGAAATCTGATAGATCAAACGCTATCTTATGAAAGAGAAATAGAAATAGATCGAAAATTTAAAAATACGAAACTGCAAAGGGGACGTGAAACAACTACAAGCAGTTTGGTCGTCAACTCACCCTTCTGAAGGGTCCAGAACAATGGCTCGTGGTTCTCCGAGGTTCTGGTCTATCAGGACTTTCCGCGACGTTCCATTCAGTCTGGTAACTTCTATTCTTTTGGTGCCCGTGTCAGTCCAGTATAGGTTCCTGGCGACCCAGTCTACTGCAATCCCATCTGGATTTTTTATCTCAGTTTTAACGAGATATTCTTTACCTGGAAAATATTTTAGTCACAAAACTGACAAATGTGTGAGAGAGGGAAGGAGAGAGAGAGAGAGAGAGAGAGAGAGAGAGAGATTTTGTAGCAGCATTTTTTGTCAAATGTTTGGCTAATCATTACATACTTTCATTCGAATCACCTTTCAGAATATACATGCATACCATTTTCTCCAGCACTTCTTTGCAGAGATATTTACGATTTCACAATTTTCATAGACCATTTGAAAGGTTGAAAGCTTGATGAATAAAGAGTTTTCACGTGTTAGTGGTAAAAAGAAAACAAAATGGAGACAACCTATATGATTTTCAACGATGTTACAATTTGAAACTTGGTTAATTGCTAGAGCGGTAATAGGTGTCAAACCTGTTCCATCTAATTTGGCCCGTCTGATGGCTTTGTTCTTGTCGTCTGTCCAGTACAGAAGCCCGTCCACCACGTCATAGTCGATAGCGATGGCGTGTCTGATGTCATCGATCTGTAAAACTTGGTCTGTGTAGCCGGGCGTGTCCAGGGATATCATCCGCAGGTCTTTCTGTCTGGCCACCAGTAACATTTCGGTCGGTCCTGAGCAGTGGGGATGTCAAATTCATCCACAAGAAACCACACACGACTGAGAAACGTTAGCCTGGGTACCATCCTGGTTAGTTAACGTCCGCTCCCACTGTCACTACCAACCAGCGACTGCGGGAGCGGACGTAAACTAACCGGGATGGTACCCAGACTAAAGAAACGTTTAAGTCAAGGTGACAAATCTAAACTGAAAACAGCCATATTTTCATCGTCTATACCGTCTAGCAATGTAATCTCCAGGGAGATTCTGTGGGGAAACGAGACTTTTCTGCCTGATGGATACAGGTGGTCAACATAAAGTCCCCTTGCCCCACAGAATCTGCTTGGAGATTACTAGAAATCGGCCTCCCTAAAAGATTTTAAAAAACTTTCAGTACGAATCTTCAGCTATTTATCTAACAATAAAAAGTCTATAGATATGATGACATACCGTCAGCACATGTCCGTCCATCCCCCTGTAACCTGACCCCCGTGGGACAGGCACACCTGTAGTGAGGGGGATCTGGCGACAGCAGACAGAGATGGGAACAGCCGCCATTGTTGGGATGGCAGGGGCTTGTCTGTTCTGTAATAAGAAAATGAGCGCTCCACATCATGGGGTTACTCAACCAGTTTCAGAAATAGGCTGTACTTCTTTTGTGTCTCTGATGCTTGAGTGATAACTCAACATTTACAATTCCGTATATTATGAAGCTATAGAATATGGGGGGGGGGGCTTTTAAAGAAATAGATATCTGTTGGAAACGGACACCAGAAAATGGGTTTCGAGTGAATAGCCTGGAGCCTAGCCTCGTTAGCTTTGGTTCGCTCCGCAAGATCCGCTACGATACCAAACAAGGCAGGACTCCAGGCTAACAAATGAATTGCTATAAAGATTCTTCGGCCTACCTTCCGTTTCCTGCATATTCACTGCCTTCAGACCCATGGGGTCAAGAAGGCCGTCCGCAATAACCAGTCGGTCTTCTCCCGTGGTCTTGTGTACGCGCCCTACGCTGCTGCTCTCCCAGTCCGTCCAGTAAACGTAATCATCTGTGTCAGACATGGAAAAGCCATTGTCACCATTTAGCACCGTCTAGAGGGTTTGGTGAAAATTGCACCACAATCACCGACCGTTGATTAATGAAACATTGATGTGGACACTGGATATTCTAGGGGTCAGCAGAACTGATGGAGAGCGCTGGCAGAAAACAGAGCATCCTGGAGGGACATGTCTACAGCCGCTATGCATCTCTACTGATGCCTGCGATTGATTGATTGATTGATTGATTGATTGATTGATAAATATGATTAAGAAAAAAATTATCGGCCATTTATGATTGCATTTTCTTCACGTTATTCAACAGTGGTGCGTGTTAAGCTGCTATTCAATATCAATAATAATTTTCATATCTTACCCAGCAAAGTCAAGTCAAAGATGTGTTCTATGTTTTTATCCAACAGAACTCTGCGATCTGTCCCGTCCAAGTTGGCGTACTCGATTTTGTGAAATCTCGCATCGCCCCAGTATATTTTCCTGGCCGTGTAGTCGATGGCCAGCCCATTAGGCCAGTACACAGATGTCTGGACCAGAACACGGCGACTGCTGCCGTCCAGCCCCGCTCTCTCGATTTTCGGTTCAGCGCCCCAGTCCGTCCAGTACATGTATCTGAACAATATTCAATGTTAGTAGTGGTCTAGTGGACCATAAAGTGACGTTGGTGGATCGAGACCAACATCGAAAACAGGTAGAAGATATACGTTTCAAGAGAAAGGGTAGAGATGATTACAACAATGTACTAACAAGTATGCAAACAGTCAAACGTAGAATCTATCTAGCTTGCGTCTAGTACATGCATTAGACAATAGACTAAGTATGTAAGAAAAGTCTAATGCGGAAAAATCTACTCACCCTTCTGAAGGATCTACCACAATGGCTCGTGGTTGGTCGAGGTTCTCATTGATAAGGACTTTTCGTGATGTCCCATCCAGGCTGATGACTTCTATTCTCTTGGTCTCGTCGTCAACCCAGTAAAGGTTCCTTCCTACCCAGTCTACTGCGATGCCGACCGGGCTTTCTACTTGTGTGGTGATCAAATCTTCAACATCACCACCAATAACTGCAAAAGACAAGCATACGTCACTTCAGTCAGTCAAGTTTTCGTGTAATTTTCAACCTTTTGGGGGTAACGTTATATGCTGTACATTAATACGAAGTGTCTTGTATTGGGTTCAGCAACAGTCAACATCCCTTAAAGAATAGGTCTTCACCTGCAAAAGCCTTGCCTTCTTCTAAATTGCTGGATGCCTAATCTTTAGTTTGTGTTCTCCTTACTCTTCTGCAAGAACATTACCAAAGAAAGCTACTAGTAGGTAAACTTTAGAAAGGGTTGAAAACATATAGAGATGTTTTTCAAGGATACCATGAGGTCACAATACATATAGCCATATGCACAATGCGTATTTCTCAAATCATAAGACATCTGAATCTACATAGCCAAGACAAAAACTGGAATCAAACCTGAGCCAATCAACTTTACGCGGCTGATGGCTTTCCTCTCGACGTCTGACCAGTATAATACCCCGTCTACAACGTCATAGTCGATGGCAGCGATGCTTTGGAGACTGATAGGTACCGGTAGAAAGACATGAGGGTCGGCGGGTTTGTCCAGGTGTATCACCCGCAGGTCGGTTCTCCTCGCCAGGAACAATACTTCACTTACTCCTGGTAAGTGCGAAAGATACAACTCAACTTCAGTTCATTATATGGCTCTAATTTGCATAATTTATTATGTCTAATGAAGTTCCCCTCTATCTTTTCTCACTCAGCATGTCATAAATATGAAATTCCCATCATTTTCGAGTTATGCATCTTCGCACTCACTCATTATTATCATATGCAAATCAGGTCTTAATTATCTTAAATACACATATGTATATATTTGATTGTGTTCTCGACCTAAATTAAATACGTAAGGATGCCCTATATATCCGTTAGAGGAAAGATAGTGTAGCATTTTCTGATTAATCATGCAATATGCTGCCCTCCCAATTTGCATAATCTATGTCGTAGTGAAGGCTACATGTTGACATAGCTTACATTGCCACTGGCAGAATCTGCATGGTGCAATGACAGGAGCTGTGGTTTAAAAGCAGGGACTGGGTATGATATTGAGTGCAACAGTGCAAAACCTGCCATTTTGTCAGACGGGCAACAAATTAAAAATTACACCCCACGAAACATAGAGTGCCTGTTAACGTTCCACTTGTTTACGTGTACATACAACATTATGTCAGCCTAGTGGCTTATTTAGAATAGAGCATATTGAAAGGCAGCACCACAGGAAGTCTTTACGTTTTCCTGACACATTTATAAATATTGACATTTGTCCTGCCGCATATTTTCAAACGGAAGACCCTACACGAGGGAGGTATTGATCCGAACCATCTGTACATCAGCTACCCTATGCATGGACAGATAGGCATGGTAAGGCCTAGGGAAACATGTTGTTTCCTATTTCCCGACCGACCCTAGGAAAAACTGCCAAGCCTAGCCTTTATTGTGTGGATCCCTGCAATGGATATAATTATTTCGAGCTGATCGACCTTTTCTAGCTCCATGATCTGACACCTGAGTGATGAAACATTGTACTATCGGTTTTACAACATTAAAAATAAAAGTGTCCTCACGCATGTTTTACTTTGATACTCGTAAAGTTTTTGTTGGATCACTAGAGAACGCCAAAGGATAAAAAAAAAGATAATCCCTACATATCGACCCTAATTTTGTTTCAGGACTAAAACTGGAAACACAACATTTTTCCCTCTTACGTATTACACATAGTGTTATGTGAGGACGTCACCTGTTACAGTCACCCTGTAGGTGTGACTGATACTGCCGTGTTCATTCTTGACGACACAGGTGTAAAGACCGGCCTCTGACGGCGAGATGGTGGAGATCACGAGGGTCCAGGACCTGTCTCGGATCTGCGACAGAAAATGCATACAAAAATGCAGATGTTGTTTGGATACGATCTGACTTGTTGCAAAAGACATTTAGCTTATAGGCTCATCGAAAAAGTAATGATTATCGTTGTCATCCACCTACATCCACCTCTCTTTTCCAAGTTTAAAATTCATTAGGTCACAGCAAGTAAATTTTATGGATGACATCCTCCACAGACTCCAAATCTAATGCGATAGAGCAAAGAAAACTAGGCAGGCCAAAAAACAAGATTCCTACATTTTCAAATTTTGGCACCATAAACCTTGTTAACGTTAAACAAGAAATGATACCCATACTGTGCTAAGTTTACTGTGCCGACATGGCAACTATCACATATAAAAGGAATGAAATACATCAAAGAGAAAGACAAAACATTAAATCAGAGCCTTGTCATGTCTCCTCTCTTCATATTTATCTGCCATACACGAACACGTTCCGGTATGGCATCAGACATCTTTGCCCATTTTTTTTCCAAAATCAAGCGAAAGTTAATGTGAGTGCTGATATAGTTCATAAGAATTACTTGCTGTGGTCTTAGGCATGTATACTGGTTTGCTATCGACATTCATCAGCACATCCTACTGTCACACCTTGTAGCGTCCATATCTGTCGGGCACCGTGATTTCCTGCCCGGCCTTCAGCCATGTGATGGACGGACGGGGCTCGCCTGTGGCGGGGCAGCGCAGTTTCACCGTGTTCCCTAACCCGATAGTAATCTCGCTGATAGTAACCACATCCTGGTCGCCTTCTCGGTCAACCCATTCCGGTGGTCGTGCAACTGAAAAAAGTAAAAGTAGACTGAGGTAGATGCTACTTGAAACGTCTGACAGTTCTCAAAGTCTATTCAATTGTTTGAGCAACTGTCTTCTGGTGCATATTATTACCTGGATGTCTAACCTTCATCGACAAATGACAATGACAACGATGTTTATTTACACATTCATGTCCATGTGGGCTAAATGCAGTACATTTATTTACAGAGAGAACTTTATTGACACTACAAAAGTACAGCGACTTTCGTAAGGTCTTAAACTACCTGTAAACATACAGACAAATACGTAGGTACAGCGAAATTAACCTACGTACAAGACAATATATGAAGCAACTTATATTACTTGTTCTAAGGTCTAAACATTCTTTGAGATGTTCACCTATTTGTTCAGTCGTATAAACACTGCAACTCTACAGAAGTGCCACACTGCATCTATTGCATACAGAGGGGTGAACATATATAAGGCTATCATTGATTGAATGTATAGTTCACGTGTTTCTTCCCTCTTTGTAAAACAGGTGTACACAAATAACGCAGAGTTTTTGTTGTACATTATTGTTAGAGGATGCCATTATATATATACAAATAGACAGCAAACTTTTGCTAATTGTTTACACAATACAAACCCATCATTACTTACCAGATGTTCCTGTCGCCGATGTGACCAAAAGCACAACTAGAATCTTCATGGACATCCTGATGACGTCAGGTCAAAGGTTGGCAGTGTGACTGTCCGAAATTTGAATCCTTTGTTGACTAAACCTTGGGGTACAACGTTATGGCAAAAACTAGTACACAGTTCGCGGCTGTAAGTCACTGAGACGTGCTCCGAAAATGTTACACAGTGATACGCAATTCACTGTGACTGACCGGCGAAGATATCACCATCTGGCAAATCTCAAGATGAGAAACGTGTTGGTGGTTAATTCATATTGTATAAACAGGACGTGCGGTTTTGCCCTCTACATATTGTCACTTATCCGGTCAAGGCTCAAGATATCATTCTGCCGCATTCCATCCGCATGACATCTATATGTATACTTCCGGATAGTTTTAAAACGCCATGCCACCTCTTTGAAGTAGGTCATTAGACCAATGAGGTTAGACTTTGATTTAACTTTAAGGTTTAAGCAGAGGACAACACATTTAAAACTAGTGACAAGAAACAGTCACTGCGACGATGCCATTTATTTAGGGGGAGAATAAGCCAGCTTCAGAATCCTGACATCCATAGTTACTGTACCAGTTGTGATGCGTAGGGCTATTCCATTGAACAAGTTCGGGGAGGGGTGCCAGAGAGCAACATTAAAAGAGGTCTATTAAGTATATAACATTTGCATTTTATGATAACAGTCATCCACACATAGCTTTCATAAACTGAACAATTTTAACTTCAAGGGATTTTAGTGATTACTTCAATATTCATACAAACGCGTACCTTGTTACTGGCTATATTAGAACTGTAATTGGTATAGAGAGATTAAAAGTCACTACACAATGTCTGACCTAATGAAAATATAAGAACCTAAATTGTACCAATTTGGCAATCAAAGCCACATGTCTACAGATATATCAACATCGCTTGTGTCACCAGTAACAGAAATGAAGATTATAAAAATGTATTAATAATATAATGTTCAAACTTCGGTCTTACTGTATTGCCTCTACTGCTGAGAACCAACAATACTTTATTGCAACTCCCACGAACATGCAGCTACGTTACTCGTTTCCTGTTTTGCAATTGCTGTATCATTCACGTTGCATTTCAAGACTCATTGTGAATTATGAGACCATATATGAAACGGATACATCATTCTTTAAAAAAAACTTCCTTTCGACAAAAATGTTCTGACTAAAATTTGCAGCTGCATCTTGGCAGCTTTTACTTAGATTTCAGAAACATGTTTAGCCACGACCAATGTGAAGATCAGTCTGGACTTGTCTGCCTCATCACGCACGTTCGTGATCAGCCTATCAGCTGACACCGACTGGACGTTCCACTGCAGGCCGCCGTTGTATTCCTCCGCGTCCAAAAAGTGTTCGACGGGCGACAGTGCGATCTCATCTGCTGGCTGTTGGAAATAGAAATTTTTTGTTAAATAACATCGTTGCATGTGGAACAGTGGAAGGTACTCTCAGTTCTAGCTCAGTTTCCATTGCCTATTTGGAGTTTGCAGTGCTGAAGCCGCCGAAACTTGACACCCAGTGTTGGCGTAACATCGGCAATAGAAATCTGGGGCGGAAGGCTCCCCACTGCACACCGAGTACTGAGAAAGGAACCAGTTACTTCGGTACTTTTGTACTAGTAGTAATCAACAAATGACTACTATCCGTAAACATGTCTACGACACTATCTAGTACATACATGGCAAGGGCGGTAACACGGTTCTACCACGTTCCTGGCCGTTACACTGAAGGATTACCCAGCATTCTCCTTACCTTGTTCCACGACTGGAACACCACCCGGCAGTCCCAGTCCGACTCTGACCGTTTCCTACACGGCACAGTGAAGGTCCAGGGGACGACATACCGCACGGTTCCGTCACTAAAGATGGACGCTTCTGTTGTCAGGGGCAACGGCATCTCCTCTGCCTTAACACTGGAGAGAAAAAAAGCGTTTTAAATCTATCACGATGTTGACGAAACTCATCAAACTGTGTGTATATCCTGTTCTCAGGTTAAGAGCAATGACATTTTTAAAACCAATGTAAACCAAAAAGGTATTGTTCGCACCCTGATATGAGGAAGATGTCCGGCATCCAAAGGTATCTCACAGATATCTCCAGCCTCCTCACTCCCGTGTTTCCGTAAATCAACCTTTTGTCCTTCCATTCCTGTATGAAGATAAATTGATGCCTCTCGTATGAGCTGCTGATGCAATATTTCACATTTGTTTTTAAATAAAATTCTATATTTAGCTGTTCAAATCATGCTTTTATGATTCATCAACGAGCTGGTACATGTCAAGTTGTGCAACAAAATCTACATCATTCATGCAACCTTCAATGGGTAGTAGGTCTACAAAGTTGAAGACAAGACGTCGAAACGTTAACCTACCATGTTGATCCAGGTATGTAGGGTAAGAAGAGCGTTCTTGGTATTCTGGTAAATGGAAAAGAACGACTTGTCAGGCTATGTATTCAATAAAATTTCAAATTTAACAAGTTATAATTCATCTCATAGGCGACTGAGTAGACAAATTTGCATACGAGTGCCAGGATTCTTCGCAAGGTCATGCCGATGTTGACGGTGGTTGGCCCCGTGTCTGGACGTAACCTCCTGTCATAGTCCCGCAGGATCCTATCAAGAAGCTCGGATGGTGACACTGGAAAAGTAGAGACGCCATCTTGTTATACCGCTTGACTGTACTCAACACATGAGATTTCTTCTGTTCACAGCCAAAAGAAATCAAGAAATCTCTTACTTTTGTCAAGAAACAAAATGTTAGGTTCAGGATCTCCTGTCCTAAGACCTGAACACAGCTTAGCTTTAATATATTAAAAATATAGCTGAAATACAAATATAAGGCATAAGTAGCCTACTGCTTTCTGGTCTAATAAGGTTTGTGTGCTTACCGCTAGGCGGCGCTTCTGTTGGCTCGACAATGCCTACGCAAGGCGCCTCGTCGTCAGGTGGTAGGTAGTTGCAGTTGAGGCTTTCTGGCCAGCTGCGCTCCATACACTCAGCCCTCACTGCCTCACAGAGACTGCGGCAGGGGAGCTGCGGTATCTCATCGCTTCCGCAAGGTGGCGCATACATGTGACACACAAACTGCCTCAGGTGCGGAGAGCAGTCGGGCCCAAAATGGGTCATGAATAGATGCTCGATCTCCCGGCTTGCTTCCTGTTGATCTAGAATGTCCTCTCTGGCATGAGGGAAACGCGTTTTGCCGTACTGTAAGTTCTGACAGTACGGTATAGTGATGTCCTCGCATTTACCTGTAAACAGTGAAAAACATATAATGATTATTATAATTATAAGACATTTCAAATCAAGCTGGGGAAATAAGTCCTGATAGTAAAGATTATGGTTGATTCTTCATTGAAGTTGTCCTGATGCTTGATTTTTATTTTGTATTGTGCCGACTGAGAAAGAATTGTGGACAGTGAAGGATATACATGTACAATATATTCTTCCAAAGTGTCTTCCTTGCACCAGATTAGCTGCGTGCAGCATCATATCGAATTAAAACGTCAAACTGCTAATCTTTACCTTCTGCTGGTGGGTATGTCGGAGGAGGAAGGGTAGGAACGTGTCCAAAACAGTCTTCCTCTTCCCCTACTGTCGGCAGTAGGTCACACTCTAGTGATCCAGGCCATCTGAACCCAAACTTGCTCATCCAATCCTCGCAGCCCGACCTGGCGGCCTGGCACAGGCTCCTACACGGGCGCAGGGGCGGGGCGTTCCGCTGCGAGTCGCAAGGGGGCGCATACATGCCGCACACGAACTCCTTCAGATGCGGGGAACACTGGACTTTCACAAGCGGGAAGAACATGTGGGCGTCCAGGGATGCCGCTTCTTGGCTGCCCTGGCCCAGGTGGTTAGGGTAGCCAGCGGTGCTGTAGCTCACGTCGGCGCACAGTGGTATGGTTATAGTCTCACACGTCCCTGAAAAGTAACGTCGCTGAGATAAAGTAAGAAGAACCGGTGTACTTACATATGCAAGCGATCGCCATAACGTCACGGCATAGCGAGTGGTAGACAAAAGGTGAGTGACGATTGGTTGATTTGCCTCCCAATAATTTGCATATGTCTTCAACTAATTTGCATGTATATGATGCGGACAAAAACAGCGATAGCTAGTAGTTAGAGCATCTCATTAACAGTTGTCTCAGACGTGAATACCATTATGTATGCACTCAAGCTCACCAGTGAATGACTGAGCGGATGTCCTCTCCACATGCCCGTTGCATTTTTCTTCCCTGCGGTCTGGGAACTGGGAACAGTTGAAGATCCGTGGCCAGCGATACCCGTTCGCCTCCAGCCACGGCAGACAGTCGTCTTTCGCAGCCCTGCACAGACTCCTGCAGGGGTACACTGGCAGGCCGGTGTCGTCCTCAAGATTATCGCAAGGGGGCGCGTACAACAGGCACGCCAGTGTCTTGAAATGTGCCGAACACTCGCCGTTGATGATGACGTCGAGGAGGTGATATTGTGCGTCGTTCGCGGCGTGGTCCTGCTTGCGGTGGCCCAGGCGGTTCGGAAACTTGGTTCTCCTGTAACCAGCGTCTCTACACATGTCCATCTTTATGGACTGACATCCCTGACGGGCCTTCTTGGCTGTATAGGAAATATATATGCATATAATAATATGCACAGAAGACAATAGGTCGTCTTGGACACAATGCTTAATGCTTGTGGCCTATGGGGGAAAATCAGGACCTGCAAAACTCGGTCGTCCTAAACCGATGGTCGTTTTATGGACGTGGTCGTTGGACCAAGTTTGACTGTATAATATTAATAAGCCTAGACTGCAATGGGGTGCGAACTAGTACTACTTATAATAAGCAGCCATATGTTATCCAGGTAAAACTATTCTACGTTACGCTCCAATTTTTTTTCGCTGCCTGCGTTTCATGACGTTAAGGTGTTTAACCAGAACAAGGAGGTTAAATACTTGTATTTAACCTTCTTGACCAGAATTACTAATGTTCCTTCATATGATAATGGTTATATAGCAACACGAATGTTCCCTCATATGTTACCGTGTAATATTAGCATTGTATTACGTAATTCCAGCTGAACCATCTTCAGTCTGGCCACGTCTTTCGATTTCTTCTAAGATCTGAAACGATTTTCCCGTCCTTAAGAATTTGTATTCATTTCAACTTCACCATTCATTCGGCCAATTTTACAGAGAGATCCGTCGCCGCAGACCTTTTGTACTCAGATTCTGTAGCTACATTGTTCAGGACAGAATCGCGAGTCAGATCACGTTATGTCGCAGACAAAGACCCTGGCGTAACTATGGCAACGCTGTCCCTAAACCCGCGGTTGGTCCATGTGCAGACGACCTCTCGTGCATACTTGTACTGTTGTTGTTGTTAAGATCCTTATCTTTCCTATATAAGCTGTCTAGGAAAACTAGCCCTAGAAATACGGATAAAAGCAGTACAAACATGTGTTTGGGTGCATCAAAAACTTCAAAAATTGTCCATTCAATACGCTGACTGATTTTAAACGACTGACGAAGGATTGGACATCAAGGGAAGTAGTGATGTTAAAATAGATGATCCGTCTAAATATCAATCATGACATTTATGACTGGCCCCTGTGATTGCACATGCACACGATTTAGTATGACAATTTAGAGCATTCTTCGAATGAGGCGTTGGCCATATCTTTAACTTCATTTAATACATTCCCGTCATCATTCATGTGCCTCGAAGCTTTTAAATATAATTACTGTTACGAAAGTAATATGTACCCTCGCTGGGCACTGCGGTGAACGAGTACATGTTACGCTGGTACAATTAGAAAGCTCCAAAACTAAGCGTCATTTTTCGTGCCAGAACACACCATACTAGAGAACGGAATAGTAAACAAAAATAATTCCTTTCATGAAACTCGTTGAATATTGATCAGAAAGACCCGTGTATGCCTGGCCGTACCTGTGATACAGGCCACCGACACCGTCAGCACCAAGAGCAGACCTCCCCACATCATGGCCTCCTCAGGAGACGATATGACCGAGAAGCGCAGCCAGCGGCGGAAAGACCGACCAGACTTCCACCTTCTCAGACCGCGCATTAAAAGTCAAGTCCAGTCAGCTTGTTTACAAGGAGGAGTTCGATTCTCAGGGTCATCTCAGGCGCATGCGCTTTGTGGTGCATTGAGAATGTGTGTATGTGGGGGGGGGGGCATCTCCAAGAAGATTTTTCGGTGGCTGCAAAGACGGTATCAAATTGGCCTGACAGTATCCATTTGCCAGGCAGTTTCCATTTGCCCGAGGCTGACGTAAAAAACGTTACCTGTACAGTAAAGAAAGTCCGATAAAATGCCTAAAACACGCCAAAAATAAAAGTCAAACCTAAACCTCTGCTTGGAGAGTGTGTGTTTGTGTGTGTGGGGGGGGGCATTTGGGATGACAGTTGTGGATGTGGTCATACAACATTAGAAATGAAACAGATTCAATATGATCCAACTACATTTAATAACATGAATGTTCAGAAATGCCACTACGAAACAGTTAAAAAGTACGTGACTGATAATTGGATAACCTACAAAACAGCTCATTATTTGTCAGGCGAGTCTGTGACTTTAACTTACAACGGTGCATGCAGTAATTGCGCTCCAAGCGAACACCAAGATTATTGCAGAATCTTTCCAGAAAATTAACTAGGTTAGATCTAGATGAAAATGACCTAACAAGCTTCACGATATTTTCAAAGGACTAAAAACAAAAATGACTGAACGAATTACGGTCACGTTTTCTGCCATGATAATCTCCTTACAGAAAGATACAGAACCACGCATTGGTAATAGTAAACTTTTACCATTTCATCATCTATCTCTTACAGCATGTCCATAATACATTATGCAAAGATCGATGATGCACAAAACTGTTCCAATCAAATGGCTTATGCACAAAAAATCATCTTGTAGATATATTTGAAACCATACATGCAACACGAAAATACGTAGTAATATAGGCCCTTTCTTTCTAGTTCTGAAAGCTCCAGGCCGTTAACATACGAGAAATGACTCATCTGATACCAACATGATACATAACATCATCTAAATCAGGGTTGTTAAATGACCCATAAACTATGTACTGGATGTTTTGAATGCTAGAGCTACTATATATGGTTTCAGTGCTGCAGAGTTGTTTCCATAGTCTCTGCCATTGATATGCATTACCATTGACCAACTAAACAATACTAAATTCTCTGCTTCACATTCATTTTGGATATCTTACAAACTAACATGACGTTTTCAAGCTAAACAGATGCTTACATATCATCAAGAACACAACACATGAATATTGCTTATCAACACATAAGAAGATACCAAAACGGTTTCCAGCATTATTAGCTCCAGTTGTTAAAGATCAGACTACATAGATATCCCTAAAAAAATGCTGTTTTTTCCCTAGTCTTCCCTCTGGAATGTTCATGAGAATATTAAGAAGACGATTGAGTCTCGGTCTTCTCACCATCTTGAGAAGAAACGTAAGGTTGCATACCACTTCCCTTACTTAAACTCGTGTTCCTCCAATGGGGCGGCAAGAGTGACGTCAGGGAGGTCAAAGGTCATGTCCGAGCGGCCATGGAGCCAGTATGTCTCCACCATACCCTTACCCTGTACAGAGATAAAGTTTTGTCAATAACGCTATTATTATTCACAGTTGTGATATCAATTAGTATTTTGATTTGCTTTTTCGATTAATTGAATTTAGTAGTAGTACTAGTAGTAGTGGTAGTAGTAGTAGTAGTAGTAGTAGTAGTAGTAGTAACGTTAGTAGTGGTAGTAGTAGTAGTAGTAGTAACGTTAGTAGTAGTAGTAGTACTAGTAGTAGTGGTGGTGGTAGGTGTAGTAGTAGTAGTATTAGTAGTAGTGGTGGTGGTGGTAGTGGCAGTAGTAGTGCTAGTAGTAGTAGTAGTAGTAGTAGTAGTAGTAGTAGTAATGAAACTTGTAGTAGCAGTAGAAGTAGGTGGTGGTGGTAGTAATCAATGGATCAACAGTCTTTCAAAGGAGCTAGGTATCTTCTCGTGCATTACCCACTCACATACAACAGAGTAAAAATCATCAATTAATAAACAATCCAGACAGGGTTTATCGATTTACCTTGATGGTGACCTCTCCACGTTTCTCCATGATAAACGTGCCCATGTCCAACAGTAGAACATAGCTGGTCCAACTCACGTGGATCCGCAAAGCTTAACAGATGAAGTCAACAAAATAACAACTCGTCAATAGGGCGGATACATCATATGATATTCAAGAGACAAGTCTATTTCTTCAATAATTGTACTAGATACTTATAAGTCAGTTAACAATGGGTTTTGTAAGCATGAAATTATATTCAATAAGTAAAGTAATCCCTCTCATACAGGATTATTTTTTTAGCAAGAGCACGTTTTTGAAATATCACATATGCCAACAAAATCATGTTCAGCAAATATTTGAGCGAATATTGTACGGTTGTAATCACGACTATTCAGTTTGTGTCTCCTTACCCAAGCCACTGGACTCCATCCGTGAAGCTGTGTTGACCGTGTCTCCGAACAGACAGTACCGAGGCATCTTCAGTCCGACCACACCGGCAACTACAGCTCCTGGTGAACAAGAAAATGTTAGAGTTACTACAAAGCAATCCAGTTGAAAGCAACACCATGTTCATTGGCCTAGCTCCTCATGAACTCGACATTATCGGTACACCAGGAAGAATAAGGTGTCAAGCAAAATGATGGGCATAGTCTTTTAATTAAAGAAAAGTCACGCTTGATACACTAGCACTATGTTGTCGAGAAATAGTGTCTTATATTGTTACAGAATTAAGTATGTTGTTTATTGTTAAATGGCCTGAAGTTTGCTTTCACGATGATAAGAATAATACATATGCATATCAGTAGCTGAAAAGATGGCAAATTCTGTGCCATCTTTTCAGCTACTGATATGCATCGCACAGAAAGAAGCAATTCGCTGCCGATGTGTGGCTGGGGTTTACGGAAAAACCCCTGGGTGCCTGCCAGCCTGGCTACCTGTCTGGTTCACATGCAATGTGTTGTTGCAATCCAAATTAAAGTCTAAGAAATCAAACAACAATTGTTAACAACGAACCCGTGTGGAAGCCACAGCGCAGCTGTAGCTGTTTCTTGGGAATGTGGCGTATGGTGAAGTTTTTCAGGGAAGAGAGTAGCTCTAGGGCCATGGTGGCGATCTCACTGACATGGCGGTTCCCGTTCAGTTCAGGCAGGCCCGAGGCTACCATGTACGCATCACCGATAGTCTCAACCTGAAACACCAACCAGGGTTAAAGATTCCCACTATAGTCACCAATGGTACAAAAACATTACCCTTATCAGGTATCTGACGAACCAACTTCTAAAATACGTCAGACAACACCTAGGCCTGTTTGAGACGTTAAGGATCATTGTCTGTGTTGTCTGGAGTATTTTAGAAATTGATTCGTCAGATAACTGATGAGGGTAATGTTTTTGTACCGTTAGAAACTATAGTGGCTTGGTGTTCCAATCTGTAGTTTCTTGAAACAAATTAAGTGTAGCAGTTACACATCATGCTGTATTACTGTTCTGCCTATTCCAGAGAATTTGTACCTGAATATGCTTTGCTTTAATATGTGCCTCATTCGTTATAAGCGACCGCCTTACCTTGTAAACATCATACTTTTCGATGACGCCGTCAAACAACGTGTACAGGTCATTAAGGAAGTCGACAACCTGATGCAAAAAAAAACAGAAGCATATATACTTGACGATTTAAACTTTAAATCTGTTACTGGTACATCATTAATATTGAAAAAGTCTTCAAACGATAATAGTTTAAACCCTGAGCTTTTTAAGTGATCAACAAAGATCCATTCGACCTTATGTGAATTAAAGGTGATACATTGTTTCCAACGCTTATTGTGGTTATCTTCATGTGCTGCATGTGTTTCCTAATCCAGACATGAGGAGGGGGAAAATGAGGATACCCCATACCTGAAGCGGCGAGCTCGCTGCCGCCAGCTTGGTGAAGCCCACGATGTCGCTGAAGTACACAGTCACAGACTCGAACGTCTGCGGCGGGATGGTTTCTCCACATTTCAGTTTGTTGGCCACAAACCTGTTAATAGAAAGACGATATAGTATGAGTACTGTACCATTTTTAAAAGATAACAAATTATAAGTCTTTCTTTCATCAATAATTGAATGTTTTCCCAGGCGATCTTGATATAGGATCCTTACACTGGTATCATCCGGTAGAGCAGTTCGTCTGTCTTCCTCTTCTCCTCGTCCAGCTGCGATGTCCGCTCCTGGACCAGCTCCTCCAGGTTAGAGGCGTACTTCTCCATCATGGAGAACATGTTATCCACCACACTCATCAGCCTGGAGAACACATGGAGAACATGTTATCCACCACACTCATCAACCTGGAGAACACATGGAGAACATGTTATCCACCACACTCATCAACCTGGAGAACACATGGAGAACATGTTATCCACCACACTCATCAACCTGGAGAACACATGGAGAACATGTTATCCACCACACTCATCAACCTGGAGAACACATGGAGAACATGTTATCCACCACACTCATCAACCTGGAGAACACATGGAGAACATGTTATCCACCACACTCATCAACCTGGACAGAACACATGGAGAACATGTTATCCACCACACTCATCAACCTGGAGAAAACACTGAAAAAAATCAGTCTTGGAACAAAAGACTAGAAAAAAATGTGACAACTAGAGAGGTAACATTCGCAAAACAAATGCATAATGTTCACCTTCGCAAATGGTCTGCTCTGTTAATTCTTACTCAAACACATTCATATGTATGGTCAGACAGGAGTCTAAATCCCTCCTGCTATAAAATTGCAACATGATGTAACCCATCACCAGCTACCATGGTGATAGACTGTCTGGTTTGGAGAAGAGAAATAGAGAAAACGTAGCAAAAACAACACGTTTTCCTTCGGTAAACATAAAAACAGTAAAATCACAATATAATGTGGTGATAAAAAATCAGGGCAGATAGAAAACTAACTTTCCGCCGTTCATCTTCTTCAGCCAGCTGAGAATGGAGTCGAAGGTGGGTCGGCGGTCTGCCAGCTCGGTCCAGCATGACTCCATCAGACGGTGCATCTCGTGGGGACAGTTGTCCTGCGGAACGAAGGGACGGTACACGGGCTCCTGGCCAAACTTCACCGCCTGTATAATACCTGGTATGAAAACAATAACTTAAACAAATTCAAGAAAGCCATGATTCAATCTGGTATTACACTTTGATGTACTTGAATAAAGCCATAATTCAATAGTATATTATTGAAATATTACTCCCTGAATTTTAACGATGTTCACGTATAATGAGCGGTTTCTAACCCTTTGGATCCAGGACGGACTGTGCGCTGTACGGCCCGCTCCGTAGCGCGATCTCTGCCAGGATGATCCCGTACCCGTAGATGTCGCCCTTCTGTGAGCCGTAGTTTCCCTGGGCAGCGCATCGTAACAGCTCCGGAGCCGTCCAGAACATGTCTGGGTTGGTGCAACAACATGTTTATCTCGATGATAAGTATACAAATTGATTGGTTGGTTAGTTGGTTGGTTGGTTGATAGGTTGGTTGGTTAGTTAGTTAGTTGATTGACGGATAGCTACAAACACTGATATATACAGTGGGCCGTGCATGTTTCTCGCACAATTAAAGCAATTGACGAAAGATTTGATTGTCTTTACTTTTGGCCCCTAAAGTGTTCATTTCATGATACTTGTTGTTTACAGACTTTGTCAAAGATTTTAGAAGATCATCCACAATATGCAACCTTGTAGAAACACTATGGTAGAGAGGGAGACAAAAATACCAATTAGCTTAGTTGACGACTGGTCCAGCAAGTAATCTCCAAGCAGATCTTTTAGTGCACGTGGTTGCAAAGATAGAATCAAATTGACCAGCTAGGTTGTATCCATTGCCAGACAGTTACCATTTAACTTGGGTGACGGAATGGTAACTGCTTGGAGATTATCCAACACGTTCCTACAGAAAAACATGTCCATTCCATACCGGTGTAGCGAGCGTGTTCGGACTCCCAAGCCGAGTCGTCCTGGTCACACTTGAAGTCGCCCATGCCGTAGTCCGTCACCTTGACCACCCAGCGACTGTCCACCACACAGTTAGACGACTTCAGCCGGCCATGGGAAGCAATGGTAGTCCCATGCAGGAAGGCCATTCCCTAAATCATTACGTAGAAACATTACATTAAATGTGTGTGCCCAGGGATGTCTGAAAAACAGACCCGTAGATCTGAGACATACTTCAAACTTGACTTGAAACACTACATCAAGTCAATACGTATTTCTGGTTTTATTTTCTAGTATCTCATATTTAGAAAGTTGAAAGAATTTAAAAGGCAAGATCTCAACATGGCTCTATTTAACATGGAATCCAAAAAAAGTGACAACCGGCATACTTACGTGCATTTCTGCCTCCACGTCTAGGTATATTCAGTGCACATTGCCTATCTATAAACTGGATGGCCCCCCAAAAAGTGCCTGATATCCAGCTTTTCGTAATGGCCTGACACATTTGTCATAGGTCGTCGTATGATTTTGATGACGCAGATAGATTTTTCAATCAGCTGCAGGCTGTGCAAGAATGAAGCTGCAACCACTGACAATGATGTAATACAATCCTCTTTGTAGCAGGACATTTACAGATGGATTTTTTTGCCACAAATGCACAAATATACCAAGAATGCTTATAGTTCGTAGGACGGTCGTGCGACCGTCGGATGTGACTGGGCCCTAACCAAGGATGGTTACATGTCGGGACGACACCAGAACTCCACACCTGAACTCGACACCTGAACTGGATACCAGGCAACCCACTGGTCTGATAACCCTCACCTTAGCAATGTCGACAGCAATGGACATCTTGAAGGCATTGTCAAGATTTATGCTGTCATTTTCCAGGAGATCCTGGATGTAGAAACACGGTGAAGGATGACAACATAAAAGATAGGAATGGGGGAGGAGTCACGATGTCATGAGCAGCTATTTCTCTGGTTTCCCAGGCAAAAGGGGAAGCGGGACATCAGGCTACCTATTGACGGCATAGCCATGGGGGGAATGAGAGAGAGAAGATACACAGAACAACCTCTGTGATTCGAGATAAGTCAGGTAAGTGAAGTCACCAGGCAAATGTTCACTCCAGTAAGAAGGCCCTTAGATTGAGGACATTTCAACTGTTGTGCCCATTGAAACGACAAGTAGATCCATGATCTTTTATTTAGTATCACTTGTGTCTAAATGATCAACGATAGAACCAGAAACAATTTTCTTTCATATCTGCAAACAATTTCATGCCACAACACATGATTTCCTTTCAAGGGGTTCGTACGAATTTAGTATGGAAGCCCAACTAGGATGGAGAGTCACTGGCAGGCTACCGTATAGATATGGGAAGTTTCTGGGGACGATCAGCTACTCCATGACATCATGATTACCCCTAAAGTGAGCGCACACAATCATGATGGGGCGTGCAAGACTACGTTACCTTTCCGATATCCGTAGCGAACGACATCTTAAAATTGTTGTCGAGCTGAATGCTATCGTTCTCAAGGACGTCCTGCGGTGAAGTAACGCAATAGTTTGGTTCATATAAAGATGCACTGCCTTACCAGTTCAGAAAAGAGCAAGAAATAGTCATGCATTTATGTAATAGAATTATAGAATCATGATTATTGCTCAAGGTGGTCAAAAATCAACAACAATCGTAGAGTGGAACTCGTTGTCACCACGTGCAGTAGTGGCATTATCACTTGATAGTTCTGCTGTTAGATACGCAAAGGTTAGGAGTGACAGGTCGTTAGGTGTACTGCATAACTGCTGCTCAACGGTGTGCCTGCAAAGCTGGTGTGTTCTGCCGTTATACAGCAATACAGAATCACAGCCTTGATTTTGTGTTTGTCAATAAAAATTCATGCACGGAACTTCATGATATATAACAACACCCATCAACCATGCCTGGTACTCTAATAACTGACCTGCAGACTTCCTTTGGAACAGAAGGCTGTGATGAGGTAGATTCTGGGCGGGTAGATGCAGGCTCCGACGAAGATGTTGACATTTTCATGGAGCAGGTCCCTCATCTGAAACAAGGCATTTTGCAACTTCAAATATTTTGTGAAAAGTTCAATCAAAACGGGTAAGTCAAAAGATACATGGTGATGCTGATGCCCATCTTGAGGTGCAGATGAATAGATGGTAGTTATGAAGAGAGCTAGGACGGATGTCATAGAAATAGATATCAAGACCATTGAGTCACTTGAATCTGCTTGGCTCATGAAGCATCATCCTGCGCCACCTTGAAGCTTTTCACACTTCCGTTGTACCAAAGCTTTCTGCCAGAGCTTTTCGTATCTTTTGGATAGTCGATAGCAAGAAAAAAAACTCAAATACTGTTTGTGTTTGGTCCATAACTTGAACACTCTCTCGTTTGGTAGACCTAGCATCTCACGGAACGTTAACCTTGCAGTGTCAAACATGTCTACATAGTAAAAGGTCTGTTTATTGCATTACCTGTTTGAACTCCGTCAGGTGCTTTCGTGTGACCACCAGCTTCTCCTTTTCTATCTTCTTCATGGCCACCACGTTACCCTGTTACAACATCCCATGGATAGGTACTAAGTACACACACACGTGAGGATATTGCTTCAAGCCATACCAGCATTTGGTCAAATGTCTGTGCTGTTGTAATAATGTGATCATGTATTGCTGTATTCAACAGGCCACATTACGTGACATCCTTCAGAAATCAACCTGATACATCGTTGACTAACATTGATATGTTTATACATAACTACGACACTGATTTTGAAAAGTTACATGCAATACTGTGAACCATGTGTGTGTTGATTTCCTGACCTTGTATTTTCCGATGACAGTTTTCCCGCTGCTGATGGTGTGGAACATGTTCTGATCGGTGTTGCCACTGCCTGAAGACGTGTGAGTGTGGCCGCCGACACTCTTACTCATGCTCTTACTCCCAGTAGCAGCCTGAGAGCCACTACTAACCTGAAATACGACGTCCAGCAGTGTTCATAAAAGACATTTGAATAACTACATCAGGTTGGGAAGTCATTTTGGAACGGTTACACTGTACTCTACAGCTGTCTGGCAGAATCAGCCACATGACATTATACTCGTGTTAGGTCAGCAATGGCAATGGGTCATAGGTTGCTGGAGGTCTATATCGTCCTCCGTCCCGGTTTAGAGAGGGTCGGTACGATTGCCTCCTCTACTTCTCCCACAAAGCAGTTGTGATAGGTATGATGCAGAATCTCAATTGGAGTTGTAGAACAGTAAACCGTTCCATAATGTACTTTACCAACTTTCATGCTCGGTTGGGAAGTCGTTTGAAGGTATTTTTTTAATCTTTCCTATCTTTCTATCTTTCTCTCACAACCGCCTGACCTCACCTGAGATGTGGTAGTGGAATGACCAGTAGGATGTTCGGGTAGGACGATGTCGGCGTAATCGACTATCCAAAGACTCTGGTCATTCAAATTCTGCTCGAGCATGCACTTCCTGAGATTTGGGAGACACGAACCAAAGTGGAGTTGCCAAGAAAGCGGGCACGATTTGTAGTCGGGGGTGAAGGGCTTTGAGATGCCCTAGAGCTAACGGCTCCGTACAATACACAAGCACATCAGTATGCAGCAAATCACTTCCCAATCCATACAAACAAATAATGAAAAAAAGAAAAAAAGAATACAGTATGATGAGAGGCTGGTTTTAGTGGCTGCAACACACTGATGAGCTTGCTGCCTTACTCCGTGTTTTACTTTACCTTGTCCGTCGAAGAGGTCGACCTGTGGTCGTGATTATCGATGACAATGTCCTGATAATTGACGATCCACAGGCTGCGATCGTTTAGGTCAGCTTCATATTTATAGCGCCTGGTCATGTCAAAAGCGATGTAAGAAAAAAACGTGAGCAAATAAAGGTGCAAACTGTAGCCACAAATTCAACAATAGAGGGAAATATAACCGAATCATGAGCGACATTTCGGAATAAGCATGCTCGCTGTCCTCTAGTAGAAATGACATCTACAACAGAGGTTTAAAGGTGGCATGCCGGTAACGAACTCAGTATTCCACTCACCAGATCCGGACTCTTATTGTGTACTTTTATTTGACAAGGCAGATGCTTTGTATTAAATTCTGTTAGTTTTATTTTATGTTGTTTGTACCTGTAGAGCGCAAGACAATGCAATTCATTAGTTGGCTGCAATGTGGTTTAAACTTTGGAATTCTACTATTAATAATATCATCTATCAATAAACAATGTATTTCACTAACTAGAAGGTCGAAGTGCATTGAAGGAACAAAAAACTTTCACAAACGTCACAAATGCAATAATACAAAGAGTATTTAATACTTGGACTTCCGCCCCATCACCAGTTCAGTACTGTCAGTAACTACTACACATGTAGTATGACATCAAGATGCACATACCTGTACCAGAAGAATATGACTGTTGTGGCCAATGCGATAAATGTTACGGCAGAACCAACTGCACCCAAGACAATCTGGTCTGAAATTCAAACAAACGCACACAATTAAGAATGACACCCAATGGTACATTCTCATAATGTGGTATCTTTCAATGTCAAAATGTAAAATTCAATACATAATTAATAGTCCTCGAGATGCCAATTTCAGCTGTAAATTCTTAGAATGTAGTATCTTCCAATGTCAAATTGTAAAATTCAAAAATGCCAATTTAAAGAAAAATATCATATATTTGTATGTATTTCATCAAGGGACATTTTCCCTCGGTTCTCAATACATGTACACTTGGAAAATAACCAAGATGCGTTATGCATCTTTTAATTGTATTTGGTACCTTTGAATCTGGATACGTCTTGTAAAATGTTCATCGCTGGAATTAAAACATTTGTTCCATTATCTTGTATTTTTCTTATATGAATATGTGGAATGACAACATGTAGAGGTGACTTATATCACCTGTTCTGTTTTGGTTCCCCCTCAATTCATTTGTATCAAATGATAAACTCAAATGAATATCTAGTACATTTACATACATTTCCTTTATTTTTTTCGGTTTATTAGTTGTAGCTGTTTCTCTATAGGGAGAACCAGGAAAATGTCAAGCTGCACGCCAAAAATAAAACATATTTCAAAGTGACATACTGGTGTAAATACGGTCCATTGGTAACTATAGGAGGATGAACTCACAAGAATCGTCCATGCAGAGGTCGTTGTCCCAGCCACACTCCGGACTGTCGATCGGTGGAGAGGTCTTCCCTCCGGCCCACACTATGTCCACGTCCCGCATCTCCAATGACTTGAGAAAACATACCAGATGCAATTGAGACAATGCATATGGGTACTGCATTGTGCTTAATCTTGGTATCTATCACTTCTGTTCTCAACAGTGGTGACATAGAAAATTAACTTAAGATGCGATGTGGATAAAACTGCAAATTCTGCAGATAGAACCATGAGGTCCACAAGAAAGGGCATTTTATTAGAGATTTTGAGATAAATTATCTAAAACGGATTTTTTTACATAAGAAATATCTTTTTTAATTTTTCATACGTTAGCATTTCATGAGCGATATTATTTTTCGTATTTCTATACACATCCTTTGTATGCATATTTTCAGTTCATACATGTACGTCAAGTTAAAATCAAATTCACCCATTCATGTTTGTATTCCCTTTCTTCGAATTTCTATTCAACTTTTCAACCAACTGATTGCTTAATTTGAACATTATAGACAGTGATAATGTACAAATTGTTACAAATGATAATGACTGTGACATTTTTCATGATGGAATAGTCAAAGAGGAATAATGTCTGAGGCATACGATAGATTTGCTTTAATGTCCGCCTTTTTGGCCTTAGTGCGCTCTCTCAGCTTTTTTGCAGGGAAGTGACTGAGAGAGTGAACTAAAGCTAACAGGGTTTGCGTACCGGCTAATGATAGCCATGAAAGATGGAAACCGTAAAATAGGTAGTAATCTTTCGCTGCAAGAAACTTCGCTAAAGCGACTCGGCGCCTCGGGTGGCTTTTCGTCGTGCATTTGTAGTATAATCATGAAGATGATTACCCCTTTAGTCCGTACCTAAATTATCTTATATAATAAACAATTGAGACATTTGCCGGATGTCATGTCGCTAATGGTCTAACTACACAGAATAAGATGTAGCTGTGTGACGAATACCAATGTGATTTTCAAAGAGCATGCAAATTGTACCTTACTATCATGGTCCATCTTCTTGCGTGGTGCAAATATCAAAGATGCAACATAACCAGAGCCATTGCCTCCTTTCTGGTTCGTTCATCATAACTTCATATAATATGACATTAAATATGATTTATCCAAGGTGCAGCCTAAAAACCCGATAAGAGTACTACTACCAAATGCTGGCACGTTACCTTATTTGCCGTTGCAAACTCAGCTATATCCTCAAAGCGACTACCCTGCAGGTTTTGGATGACGTAGTTTGGGCTCCTGTCCCCGTACTCATCTATGGAGACCTCCCCTGCAACACCTGTGTACAAATAAACAAACAAACAAACATACCATAACTAGCGATATTGCCACTACAAGGTGGTGATCCTAATCAATGATACAATGTATTCAACAGGCAATATTAATTACATATCATCTTTCAAATGTATACATCATTGTATTATGACAAACATTGTTATATTTATACATAATTGTGATAAAAATCATCTATTTTGATAGTTAGATACCATACTGATGCCATTTGACAACTTAAAAATTTTCTTCTAGGTTCCAATTATCCATTGTCAACACTGCTGAAATAGCAACAATAGGTTAGATTTTGTTAGATAAATCCCCATTTTCATTGGTATTTGTTGTTCAGCGAAGTCATTACACCATTGAAGAAATGCAAATGAAAGAAATAAATTTCTTTATGGACCAGTAGGCAAATCATGACATACCGTCAAATGTCCTGCCTTTCATGAGTTGAGCAACCCGAGCACCGTCGGCCTCCGACTCGCCTTCCCTCAGCGCGTCATCCAGCGCCATGGCGTACAGCATCACCGCGTCATACAACATGGCGGCGTACACGTCAACCTGCCAATCATGGAAACATGGCCTTATTAGGTAAGGTCACGTGTTCTGTGCAACCGGGTCATCAGTTGTTCTGAAGAAGATTTCAGGTTCTGTAAAAATTTGTGAAGACCATTCTCCTGTGCTGTAAAGTAGTTGATACAATCGATTATGTTCTCTGCAATGTCGAAAGTAAGTTTCTTCAATATGAAATCGCATTCTTGTGGTGTGTTGCCATTCGCTATTTTTACTGTTGATTCATTTCAAAATTCTTTAATGTCTGTATCAACTAGTGGATGAAAGAGTTTGATTAATACGTAGAATTTTAACCGGTATCTTTGACGGCTGACCTGGAGAAAGAAAGACAAACGAGGACCTGGTAAAAATAGACCTTCGTTGGAGCGATGCGCAAGCCGTGTCAGTGAACCAAGATGCCCAGAGAAACTGTCCAGTATCCCAATAGGAACTGCAGGAACAAGGTCCAAGTATGCTTGAATTTAGAATGAATATCTTTATGGTATAAACAGTGCAGCGCTGTTTAAAAAATAACTTTGTACCTTTTCATACCGCTGCATCCCCCGGTTGAACGGCGGCCCTGCCATACGGTACCTGACTTCCCGCTCCAGCACCTCCCAGTCCTCCAGTAGCGGCGTGTGGACGTGCACATTCAACAGCCCGCTGGGAGGGAGAAACAAACAATGGGGCCTTCGCACTCACGTGACAATGACGTCAGCATTATCCGCCATACTGAGTGGTTACAGCAAGAAGTTATCAGGTAAATTTGTAACTAGCCATGTGAGTTTCAAACAAAGCAACAGATGCTATGTATAGCAATAGATATTATACTTTGTAACTTGTACAATTGAAGATAGACAATCGGGCGTTTTCACTCACGTGACTATGACGTTAGCATTATCCGCCATACTGGGTGGTTAGGGCCAGAAGTTATCAAGTAAATTTGTAACTAGTCACGTGAGTTTCATACAATTTTACAAAGCAAAAGATAACATATATATCAATAGTTACCAAGCTTTTTACCCTAGACAATTGTTGTGCAATAAATTTTATTATAAAACAAAAGAAACTTTACTTGAAAACTTTCCTGGCGTCATCATCTCTTCCGTCACGACCCATCCACGTGTTCTCCCCCAACATGGCGTCCGGAGCGAAGTTGATGACCACGAAGACGTAGTCCCCATTCACGATGCCCAGGTCTGCCGCCATCAGCAGCATCTCTCTCACGTCACCGCCGTCCGCACAGAAGATAAGGACTAGGAGAGAACAGATCAAAATTTAAAAAAAATCAAAGGTTTCAAACTCCCAGGACGAATGCACTCCTCAACTTCCTGAATTCTTCTGGTTCTGGGCAAGTTTAAGACCTTTGGCCTCCTATCATTCTGTCCGGCATTCTTCCACCCAGGTGTTGTCAACTTGCAAAACAGTAGCACGCAAATCCACTGCTTAAAAACAATACTTCCGTACCCGGAAGTAATAACCATCTACTCCTCTGGCACAAGTCTTTCCTACATTTCTGTATTTTGTAGCAAAATTGACAGAACAAAATCTCCAGATAGATTATGGTCAAAAAAATGCAGCCATCCAGAAACGATTTTGCCAGTAACGTTAGGTACACGACCAAATGAAGACATAACGACGTACACATGACTCTGACTTACTTCTAGCCTTCTGCTTCGCAGTCTCCAGAGCGTCGTGGTGCATGGCCCTCTCCCGTTCAGTCATCTGCACGTACCCAGGGTCGAAACTCTGGAAGAAGGCAACAGCTATCCCGGCATCCTCCAGGGCCAACTTGATGGCGTGTGACGTGGTCTGCCATACTTGTTGTGTTGAGGCCAAGATGGCGGCCCTTGTCCAACCTGCAATTTGTTTGTTTGTTTGTTTGTTTCAACCATTGTTTATTCATTTTAAAGGAGGTTTATCTTTCTATCAGCTTGAACATAACGGGTTATCGTCCTGGTTGGTAGTTTAAAAGTACAAAAATGTATTTCAAAACCAATGACCAATCGCTTATGACATGTGGCTATCAAAAGGCACTGACATTATGTGACGTCAACAATCAGTATCAAACAATATGTCTATCTATATTTTTACGGTATACCCTGTCTATTATTACAAAAACATTAAACTTAACCCATAAGGTATCAGCGCAATGAAATATCAATTCTAAGTATGGACGACAACCCACCGAAGTGCTTGAGAAGAGACACGAAGAGTCCCCCGGTCTTGGTGAAGGGTCCCACAGTCCTGACAAATGTCGGGTACTCGTCCTTGTTGCTGAGATGAGACGATGCACATCCCCACGACACGATTGGTACGTTCCACGACGCTGCTAACACCCCTAAATATCATTAAAATGGATTGGTCGCTTAACTCGACTTGATTGAGATGTATTCTTTCTAAGCCACATCAAACCCATACTCTATTACTCATGACATGTGCAGTTTTAATTGCACAAGCCCGTTCTCATCTTGCCTGAATGGTCCATTGAAAAAAATAATCATTTTCAGAACAGGGTTTTGAGGATAATAATTTCATCTCATCTTTTCTCACAGCATCTCATTTCGTCTCACAATCCTATTAACTGAAATTCTCTACAGGTGAACAGACCGTCGTGGCTTCCCTGCTAAGAGTGTGGGCGCCCGTCAATTCCTTCCGCCCAGCGCATGCTATGAGTTTCAATTATCTCTTCACGAAGCCGGTGGTAGCTAATTAGAAAAGTCAGCTGGAAAGATCGACAGCCACAGAGCACACAAAGGGTCCTGTGCCAAAGACTCCAAAGCAAAATTGAAAAATGGTTACCAGGCTAAATATCCTTTTGATTTGTAGTGCTAGAATAGTCTACATGAATCCTTCTCGACAGGAGTTTTAAAACCTTTCTAACCTGTGAAGAAGAAGCCCGCCCGTGTGAGTATTGAACAGTGTGAGACTCATATCCTGCCTAATATGCCGCGCTAATTATAAGGAGGCAATTAATGTAAATCGGCAGACAGAAAAGCAAATTGTGTGACATCGGATTAAGTGTATTACATTAAGCTCAATTAGCGATTTGCCATAATTTCACTATCTTTTCTCGTTACCATAAGAAGATTATCATCATATTGTTTAAACAATGTATGTAGTCCGACCTGAATGAATTTCACCAGATCTAGAGTGTGCATGAACCTTGTCCATCAGACGCACTGGTAAACCAGGAAAAACAAAAATATTCGACAGGAAAATGACAGGAAGATGAGTTGACCGATGTTGCCACATACAACCATGATAAGATCTAGATTACTTAACTGGTTCGATGTCATTGATAATTTACTTGTCGTTGCAAAATCTACCAAGTACACGAATTTTGAAAACAAGTCTTGCTTTCGTAAATATGATTTGACTTGCTAGTTATTACCTCCGATGGTTCTTTCGCTCTGGTCTTCATATTTCTAACGAAAACACAATCAAGCCCACATAGTGATTAACGGTAATTATCGTACAGGTGAGGTCTCCTGTGGTGATGTCCAGTTCATATTCTCAAAGGTACGTGTACGTCTTTGTGTACCTCGGCACGCGCGTCACCAACAGAACCAACATCCTTCACAACACAATCATATTTTCACAACAGCACAATCACATTCTCAGCGGGGCTATATTTATATTCAGCAAAGAACCGACCGACGTCAAACCAGCTAATCAAACGACCGACCGACAACAGGGCTCTACGACAACCATGCACAAGACATGAGGCTTAATGTTGTCCGAAACATTCAGTAGTCTCCCAAGATCTATAAGTTTAATTTGTTATCGTAAACCTAACGTACGTCAGTTGTGGCCAGGGCCTTGATGATACCAACATCTACAGTTGTATACACCGATGCAAGTCTAAAAGTCCTTTTTTGCTGAAAGTCCCTTGATCGCCTCCAGAAATCTATTATCTGACATCAGTGGGGATAACCTTATATAAGGGGTATCATTTGGCTAAAATGATTCCGTCCCTTGACTATTAGATGGTCGTGTATGGTTGTTCTCAATATAGTTTCAGACACGGCGTGTTCTGAGCCTAATTCTGTACCAAAGTTGTTTTTCGCTACGATACGTTTGAGACCGTATACCATTATGTTGGTATCTTCACTGAAAGAATGACGTAAGTTCAAAGAAAGAGAACTCAGAATTAGTCTATTTTCAATTAGGTATGACATTTTCCACCTGATTTTTGCGCCATAAACATAGGGCATTTCAGTAGGGCATAGGGCACGACAACATTTAGAGGCATCCAATGCAATTTCAGAGTAGCGAAAAAAAGATCTGTATAAGAAAATCTGCCTGATATCGACATGTTACTGCCGTTTCTCAGCACATCTCGTCACCATTTCATACTTGAAGCGTTTGAAATATATGTAGCCCAGCAACAAGCTACGTGAGGAGTACCCGTTTTCCGTCACCGACATTTTTGCTTCACAGATATGGGTATGCTATCCTGTATCCAACAGTGTTGATTCAACTTACTACTACGTAACAGTAAAGAAATGACCGGTAAATTGACTTGGAAAATCCAGCTTGCTTTGATTGCCCTGAAATTGCTTTGGGTGCCTTTGACAAAGTGGACATAACACACTGCAGTCCCTGGGAGGTACAATTTTTCGGGAGGATTCTCGTACTCACCGATCGGTCCGCAGACGGCATCGCAGCCTGGCCCGATGATGACCCGAAGATTCTCCCCTAACTCTTCGTACAGCTCCATGGTGACGTCCATCCCTTCCCTGGCCGAGCATCCCGTGTCCTTCCAGACGAAGTCCAGGTGGTGGTCCGGCAGAAGGGCGGCGTTGTTGTTGATATCGTCGATAGCGACGGCCGCCGCCGGTCCCATGCGCTGCCCGATCGGCCAAGTCCCCGTCCAGGGCAGCAGCACGGCCACCGTTAGATTCTTCTTACTCTCTACTGCTTCAGCATGGACGGAAAATAAAATCGTCCAAATCACGGGCAAGATTGGCAGCAATCTTACTTTACATGCCATTTTTCAGCGGTCGAATGGCCGTTTTTTGTGTGTCGCGAATGTCACTCCATCGTTAGGAGCGGCGCAGGCAATATACCGGCCAAATCTTAGTCTTCGAACCAATGCGGGGGATTAGTCAAAGTGCGTCGCCGTACAGCGGTGGTGCCAGAGGAGGCGTGTCTTGAGCAGAGCCAATGACAAGACGACTCTCCTGCCTACGTGAGAGCCATAGAAACGTCTTCTTCCTGTGTTTACTAATATGCACCCCGCTAACCCTTATAACGCAGCTTTTCGTGGTAATATGCTTCGCAAGAAGGTCTCCATGGAGCGAAGTGACATCACGCGTTGTAGCTGTACCTGATGGATCAAAAGTGTGACATTACAGCTCCCGGATGGTCACCAGTGGTCTTCTATGCAAATTGTTCACAGCGCGGTTGCTATGTAATTTTGTCTTCCCTCTCTGCCGTATCCTAAGATTGTCGCATTGACGTAGTTAGACCTGATGGGTCAAAGTTTTGGTGACCAGTGGTATCATTTACTACAGTATTTTATTACACAAAAAGCACTGAGCGTAGCGCACAAAATGTGAACTGAAAGTTCACTTTTAGGTATATTCTAAAGACCAATTTCGGCATCTTGCAAATCTTTTTGATATATACAGAGTGATAATATTTACGAAGTGATATTAAATTAAAAAACGTCACTTCGGACAAATCTTGAATTGTTTTCGCTCTTTCTTATTCTCCAAAAAAAACCAGACGGCTGTCACCATGGTAACTGGTGCTGTAGTACTGATGGTAGGACTGAGTTGAGGGTAGGTCACCATACTATGAATGCGCTTGAGTAAGAATAAAGAGAAGAGTTGTTTGTTAAGCTAGACCATGTGTAGGTAAATATTATGCACTTGCTTTGCAAATGCTACCTGTCCAATGCTTGATTCATCTGCGCGCGGGCTGTCTATTTATTTGATGATACATACCAATTTCCGAGCAAATAATTGCGCCATTTGCTTAGCCTGGTTACCTATTTCAGCTCCCGATTTTATTTGACCCCAACGCGGAGAGGACACAGACTCGGGAGCTAGAATAGGTCTGGTAACCAGTCTATCATTTGCTATCACCGTGATAGGAACGTTCTAGATAAACCGTCCCGGCATGGTGACAGTGCGCACAGGTAGAGCATCAAATCGTCTTACGGGACATCAGCAGATTTCCGGTATTCTATAAGCTTGCATTTTGGTTCTGATAAGCTCTTAACAAATTTAAACCTCACGTGGGAAGCCAGCCGACATCAGGACATATTAAAGAAGAAAAGAAGCGTCCCCGTAAGGCCATGTTGATTTGATTATATGGATGACATCCGCGCGCGCATGAATTTTCGGCCGTTTCCAAAAAAAAAAAGTTTTCAACCATACTGTAAATCGTGCAAAATAGTTGCTAAATGAGCAAAAATATACCATAAGTTGCAAGGAAAACATTTAGAAACGATACCAATGTCATAGAATGCCAAAATCAAAGGAAAAAAGACAAAAATGTAAAGAAATGAATTCGAAGAGTAGATTATTCGCCATAACATATTCTGTGCCATTTGTTCAACCTTCATGACCACGTAGATTTCATAGTGAAAGCAATTTTTTTTTGCAAAACTTTTTTTTATTCGCACGCGCGCATCAGTTTTGGGGTTCCCAGAGGATGTCATCCATATAATCAAATCAACATGGCCTAAGGTTGTTGGAATAGGCAATCGCCATATGATTTTATATTTTTTCTTTAGATTTTCGGATTTTTTTCCTGCAAAACACCCAAAAGGTTACCTAAATATAGCTCTGTCTAGTTAGTTTTACTTGACAAAAGCAATTCACTATGATGATGTGCACGTACAAAAGCTGTAACAATCACAATGTAGGAGCGAGATGTTCATAATGACATCTCATTAGTGCGATTGAGAATCGAGAACCCACGTGTCGCTGGCTGCCTATGCTGAAGCCACAATGAAAGTGTGGATGTCCTTCAGATTTCTTTATTTGGGACTGGCAGGTGTCATGACTGTCCCTACATCAAGGACGCCTGGAGATGAGCTAAGGTAACTACCGACTACTGAGTGTGTGATTTTTAGAGAAATATGTGGTAAATTTTCCACATGACACAACATTACAGAGCGCTGCACAGAATGGTGGATTAAAGTCAAATTAAATTAACTTTTATTTCATATGTTTCTTTTTCTAACACATTTTAAATTAGTTACCTTTATACATATTAAGTCTCCTCATATCCAAGGGAACTTGAACAGGAAAGCAATTTCTTACTCAATCTAGATGTTGAATTTCATTGCCTTAGGTTTTTGGTTTTTACCATGTTGTATCTTGTTCTGACATATCTAGGAATAGTACATTTTATAACCATGCTTTCTCCTGAAGCAAAACAAATTCCATTCATGCATTTTGACTAGCAGGTGGAGATACAAAGCCATTGGAGCAGACATTGCTTCGAGACTGACGTTAAGAAGTGGTCACATTCATTCTATGATTTCTACAAGGTTAGGACAAAACCAACTGTCAGCAGGAATACATTACTCCTGATTAGCTCTATTTGAATGTACACAGTATTATCTCTTGATGTTCAGTAATCATGATGTTAATTTTCATTCTATACCCTTTCTTTCTGTACTCTGTTCAGTAGTAGTTGCCATGCGTTGTACCTTGTACAATTGTTGTGCAATAAAGTTCTTCTATGATTTTCCTTTACAACACATCCCCCACTATTCCAAGAATGCGATCAGTTAATTCACTGTTGCAGATCTACCATGCAGGTAACATGACTGTGCCTTTGGGTAAGCAGTTTGAACAGTATATAATTCTATCATATAAAAGCAATCTACTCAGCTCGGCAAATTTTACAGGTATCAAAAAACAACACGACAAAAACAGAGTAAAAGCTAACTCACACCAAAGCGCAGGTAGCAGATACCAAAATCTTTAAAAGGCCGTCAAAAAATACTGAGTCCAATCCAGACCTCAGCTGGCATTTTCTTTTAAATTATACGCAGACTAGAACCTGGCAGTAGACAGAGCCTGGTAGTAATCAGAAAATGGTTACATCAAAAGAAAAGTGCAGACAATGTAATGACACAAACATATGCCAGATGGGGTCTGCAATGCAGGCTAATTAAAAGCGCTCCCCCAGCCTGACAGACTTCCTCAAAAGAAAGTCTTGTTTTCATTTCCATTATGTTAACTGACCAGCTGCTAACAGTTCATTTACTGCAGCTTTATTGCCATAATATTAAGCTGCCAAAGTCAAGGTCATCATGTCATTTCTTTGCTATATCAACTTGTGTTTTGCCTATAGCTTAGTGTTCTTGGTAACTGTGGCTTTTAACTTCTATATTGTCTTCAACAGTTTCTTTACATGGTAGAAAATGTATTTAATTTACCCATAAAATCTTATTAAGATTCTTAACATTAAAGTCAATTTACATTGTATATGATATTATATACTTGACAATGTGAAATGTTCTTTTGTTGCTATCTGTATGTAAGTATAAGTGAGAAACAATTATAGTAGATCCTGTAACAGCTACCTTACATGTACATTGTACCACAAGCATGCTTTAGTGTCAGAAGATGATTGGATTTTGAACTGTAAATACAGTATATGGCACAATCATGGTGGCCAAAATACTCAAAATGTCTCTGTTGACAGTTGGGAAAGTAGAGGAACGACGTAACACTCCCCTGTCCTCCAGAGCCATGGCTGATTGTCTTCTTCTTCTATCCTACTGGAAACTGAACAAAAAGAAAGAAAAAAATCCATTAGAATTTCTACTGAGTGTACAGTCAAATACAATGTACAATCAATGCTTGTGTCAATGGGGAAAATTAACCCTTGTCCTGCTGGCATTTTTTACACAATATTTTCATTAATTTGAAGTCTTAATCAGGTCACAGACCCTTGACTTTCTTTGCCACGCAGGGATGTAGTTACTTCCGCATTCATTGTGTTTTGCTGCAGTGTGATGCGTTGCTAGAGAAACACACCCAAATCGTACATACATGTATACAGGGTGCTATATACTAGTAGATGGCACTGTATGTGCAACCCATATATATACTAGTATATGGGTCCTACAGGACAAGGGTTTAAAAACCAAATTACACCATCAGCGAATAGAAAAAGCCTGAAGCTTCACCTCAATAGAGGATGACTGCTTTACTCTCACCTTTACTAATAGATTCAAGATTCTGTAGTGGATTTCACAATTAGTTTGACAGCTCTACCATTAAAAGGCTTGAATGGTACAGTAAACAGGACGTGTGCACTTTCTAATCAGTGCAACGATCCAAGTCTGTTAATGCACTCAATTTTGCGCACATCAAGACTTAAATGATGTCTGTGGCAATTTTGATGAGTAACACCTTTTGGAAAAACAGGATGCATGAGGTGTATGCTGAATAAACAAGTGGACATGTACTGCTCATTATTGGTTATGCTTGGCTTGTTAGAACAAGGAAAACTAATGTAACTTGGCAACATCAGAGAAACAGGCCCAGCTGGCCTACTGCACTTGTCACAAGGAATCAATTTCACCACCACAGTTACAGTTGCAAAACAGTTCTGGAGCCAAAGTGTGCCTTAACTTTTCTTTAACCTTCACCCTGCTTAGGGTAACTGTTTGGCACCAAATTTGTATCAGTTATGTGGTTACATAGCAAGGAGAAGGTTAATGTTACATGCAGTATCCAGCTATATGGTAACCTTTTTAACAGATTTAGGGACAAGTCAAATCAAGAAATGTACAAAAAACATATAGTTCTTGTTGGAGCTTTTCAAAACTTTAGATAGACCTTGAAGCATGTCAGCATGTCACCCTGATTTTTTATAATGGTTTTTGTTGGATTTTTGGTCACAGTTGCATTAAAATTTTGTCTATTGCAGAGGACATCTTTTCCGACATAACATTTGGAAACTACAGACAGAATGTTAATCTTATATACGCGGATACGACCTTATATGAGTGTTTTGCACATAATGCATTACGGGTTTTGCGCAGGTGCAGTACGTTCTTACGTATGCATTATTTTGCCTTTTCACAGTTTTAGATTGAAGTATTTTAGACTGAAATGCTCTATCTACCTATTTTGTCCACCAGTGACCCACCCTACCTGTCATTGTCAGTACTTAAACGCCCCGCGCTGGGCAGCCTTCAGGATGAAGTTTTTTACAGTCTGTTCATCCAGCTTGTTGAAGGCTTCTGTCTGCGTGACTGCCGTCATGTGGTTGAAGCAAAATCTAAAGCAAAACTCCTCCAGGTCCTGAAAGGGCAATGAGAAAAATCATTACGCTCAAGCATATTTTTAGACTTCTATTGTATGTGTACCTAGTGTGTTAAGTGCTTGCTTTGTATGGGGTTCAATTCTCCAACCAAGTCAGACGGTACATAGGCCTAGGGAAAAAAATATTGTGTTTCCTGTTTCAGTCTTGGAAAATTAGGGTTTGTAGGTAGCAAGGGATTTTTTTAGTTGTTATTTTTTTGGCAATCTTTAGTGATCCAATTTGTGATCTAATTTAAACAAAATATACAGCTTATCAAACTAAAACTTGCATGTGGACACATATTTTCATATCAATGTTTCACCACTCAGGTGTCAGATTATAGAGCTAGAATAGATCAGCTCGAAACATTTATGTATCTTGCAGGGGTCTACCCCCCAAAAATAGGCTAAGGGTCAGCATTCTTTTCTATGGTCGGTTGGGAAACAGGAAACACAACATTAATTTTTCCTAGGCCATACTGCTTCTCTGCTTAGCACTTACCCAGCATTTCTAAGAAAGAGTATGGGAGCTTAACACACAGCACGACCAGTAAACTAGCTCCCTGATGTAGCATTTACTGTGCTCACTGCACTACACTGCACTACACTAAGTATAATACAATATTCTTCTCACCCTGGCCTCATATTTAATGGCAGCGGCCAGCAGCATGGCAGCATTCTCCACAGTGATGCCCTGCTTGATAATCCTCTCACACAGTCTCTTCAGCTGCTGTTCGCAGTATGAGTTAGCCAGGTCCAACAGGCCTGGGGAATACACAAGATACAGCTTCCAATACTGGCAACATATCATCTCATACATTTACATATAGCATACAACACGGTGTATTTAGTATCACCCTAGGTATCATCAAATGCAACATCAATTCCAATTGCAATGTCCAAATCCTGTATTTGAACTTTTGAAAGTGGCACACGTGGTTAGGGCGAAACACGTTCAAACTGTTGTATGGAAGCAATGGAAGCCCGGGCTGTACCGTAAAGTACGGCCCGGTCCAGAACACTGTTATCGAAGGTTATCCCGGCCAGGGGTCGATATAAATACATATATGTGTAGATTTGCATTATATGGGAGAGTATAGTATCTACATGTACCTATATTTTTATGAACAGTATTGGAAACAGGTACCTAAAACAATGTAAGTATTTAAGTTAAATGAATTGAAACCTGGACATAGAAAGGTACTCCATGATACAGCAAAAGCACGAAATCCCCTATTTTGTAAATGAAAGCTTTCAATTAAACTGAAGTTCTTATAATATGTATTGGATTGCTTCAAAAAATAAAACAGTGCAATGGCATTTCAATCGCATTTTCTTTTTTTTTTAGATTGAGCACTGTCATTCTAGTAGTCATTTTTGTCATTCTAGTACATCGACACCCAGAAACTGTACAACCAAGCTGATAACTTGCCGTAGAAACTTCTAGCACCAAGACAAGAATCTGACTCAAGATTCTATATCAAACTCAACCACAAAATGGATCATAAATGACATAAATCCTAATCCTAATCCTGCCTATTAAGAAGATTGTGGATTACAAGGGAAATAATCAGTGACCCTGTTGGTAACACACCTGTCCTCTAATGAAAAAAACTTAATCCTATTGGAAAAAATGTCATTCAGAATGTCTTATCTGTACATTACAGGTTGGGGTTGGACACTGTCCAAAAATGAAAGGGACAAGTCATACATGCCATGTTTAAGGGAGCCTCAAGGATACTTAGAGATTTAAGTTGTGTACAGTTGTGTACATATTGAAGGTGTTCAGCACCAAGGACAGGGTTAGTTGTGTACATATTGAAGGTGTCCAGCACCAGGGACAGGGCTAGTTGTGTACATATTGAAGGTGTTCAGCACCAAGGACAGGGTAAGTTGTGTACATATTGAAGGTGTTCAGCACCAAGGACAGGACTACATTGGAATACCGAGTACACTACTGTTCATTAAGAATACAAAGAAGAGTTACCTATTGCATCCTCTGGAGGCAGGTCCACCTGGTCAGTGTACAGGTACTCCAGGAAGGCCCTGTACACTGGGTAACTGAACTGGGTGATTTCTATCACACTGTAACAAAAAACAAAAAAAAACACATTTACAAGAAGAAATGTTATATTGTGTGCCATAAAACCTTCAGAAAGCTGAAAGTTACTACATGTAATATATGTACATGTATTTACCGCTACTTCTTAGCAAGTCAGTATTCCTGGTTCTGTTCCTTTGTTCTTTTACACAAAAGTGAGCACATTCTGCCTTCACTTTGTATATATCATGCGCAATCAGAAAATATAAAATGACTCCTATTCACTCTTTTCAAAGACTTTGAAGTTGTGAGTTACAAAATTGTAGGCTCCAACTCCATACACAATCCTTGCCAAGTATGAAAGCCTTTGATAAACCTAGACTGACTTGTGCCCTTACAAGCTGTGAAAAGGGGAGGCATGTGCAGGTGTGACAACGTGGCTGCTAACTGTGTGGTATTTTGTGGAGAAGTTCAGCAGTTGTGCCAATCCTGTACCACAACATTGCATAAAGGCTATGGAACCTGAGTTGGCTTTGAAAGATACCACAAGTATAGTAAGTTTGTGTTACACAAACTTGTTACAGTATATATAGTACAGTACAATGTGAACAAACATCAACTGATAAAAAATATTATGCCATTATTTTTTAATACACATAGTTTATACTTGTCATTGCCTAGAAAATCACAGAGTCACTCGCACATGCAGATAAAACTGTGGTTTAGTGGTATTTGTTTTTCAAAGCACTCTTACTGGATCATTTGAGAATCTCTTCCTTTAAGTGCACTTTGCTTCCAATAGAGTACATTAGTTCATGTAATCATGTCAATGAGCTGTTTGAAAAGATGATGAAACTAGGATGTCACAAATAATCTTTAGAAGGGACAGTTCAGTATTGCAGTGGGTCTTTATAAATTATATGCCACATAGAATGGAAGACTAAGCCTGGGCTATATCATAGTACATGTTGAATGGTTGAACACCTTACAAAATGTATACTCATGCTGATATTCAAAACTTTGTAATAATTACAGGGACATAAACTATCCCTTTAAAATCCTTCTCTCTTAAAACATCATTGAAACTGCCCTTATCTTTGCAATGACATTATTACAGTAAGTCCTTGTCCATGGTAATGACAGACATGTCTTAGGCTATAAGCTATATGGATCATGATATATATATATATAACATCCATTAGGCTACAATACATATTCCCATGGCCCTTAAACTAAAACAAGATTTACATGTACATGTAACAACACATGTGTCAGGACATGTGCCTCAAAGTAATGCATGACACTCCATAACTTTGTCACTGTTTACAACTTGACAGTATGTTACACACCAATTCTTAGTACAGTAAAAAAACTGCCCAAGACGACCACTCAAGGAACTGATAAAATCTGATCAATGTGGACAGGTGGTCACTAGATATTCTTAATACTTGTGTCACGCATCTAAGGGACCACCAAAAAAGTGCTCACAGTGGTCTTTATGTACATGTAGAGGTGGTCACTTTTGACCAGGTTTACTTTTGAGTACAGGTTTGAATGTTATGCAAATTAAGAACATTTAGGACTGTAGAACTGTTTCATTAGTGCCTCTACTTAAATGACTCGAGGAGTTCTGTACTTACTCTTTGTCATCCTCCCCCCAGTGTGCCTGGAACATGGAGCGAAAGTGCTCACATCTGGAACAGAACGTTCATTAAACAAGTTACAATACTGTCACAATACGCATACTAGTAGTTACAACTCCTGCAATTAAATGTTAAGGCTAGATGCAGTCTATGGATACTAGTAATAACAGTTTGCACAATTCAAAAACAACAGGTGTTTGATAAGGGGAGGTGGACAGGGATAAGGAAAGTACATGTACCTTATTTTCAACACAGCCTTATGTACATGAACAACTCTTCCTTCCACCATGAATTTCAGGTCACTTGATTCCTGGAGACAAAAAAAGAACATGAAATACTGGAAGACTATATACTTGAACTACACAGGCAAATCTGTTGACAAAGTTCATGCATGCCAAAATAACATATAATTATTATACTATTGGTGAATTTATATTGTATATGTCTTTTTCTCTGAATTTCTTCCCTTTGGAGTGATTTTATATGCATTAAAATCTACTTCCCATGCATTATGTTAGACTACTGAGAATGAGAAATATCTTGTTACCTGGTTATCAAATGCCATCTTCAGATGTCTCTCTATGGTGTAGAAATTATCAGTTTCTGTAACAAACAAAAAGAAAGAAAGAAAAAATGCATTATTGATAACCAGATTGTGCACAAAATCTGTTCTTTTATTATCTATGAAATTTGTTCAACCTGACAAATTATCAGCCGCTCACTAGTTTTAGCCTCTAGTGTAAAGTTAGTGTATATGTCAGTGTTTTCTTTTGTCTGATCCTGACCTCTTCCCTCATAGAACACAACTGGTTTACTCATTCACAGACTGCACTTGATGCAAGCACATCACCCCCAGTTTCAGGGGAAAAGATGTTAAACTGGATAGAGAGAGAGAAACAAAGTTTCAAGCAAACCAACCGAAGGAGAGAGGCCTCCACGTGACGGCAGGCATGGAGAAACATGCGAAGACGTCGTCCACGGTTGAGAACCTGGTCTCCATGGGTGAGGTGATGGACTGTCCCCGACACTGACCCCACATGTACACCTTCCCAGTCTGGGTGATCGCTGCTGATACGTGGTTATAGTGGGTCGCTCCAATCTCTACAAACCTGTGTGCGGCAAAATGTATAGTGGGGTTGTGTGGCATAACAACAGAGTGTTTGGCTCAGAACCAAGAGGTCCTGAGTTTGAATCCTGCCATGTCACCAATCTTGAGCCCTTGGGACAGGCACTTTGCACGAATGAGTATGTCTATTGTCTATTGTCTATTGTACATTCCTGCGTTTGCCTTCTAGTTCTACATTGGTGGCAACATGAAAATGAGTTGAAAAAATTGCTTGTGGTGTCACCAGGTCTTGTGATAAGTGCTGGAATAAAAAAAGATGTATACAAGGCATTGTAATGAACATACATGTACATGTATGTGTATTAAAGCAACATGACACAAGGACAATACAAAATTTCAACTGGTAATTTCTTTACAATGTAAGTTGAATGACTCCTACCCATATACATAGTAATTCAGGGAATGAAAGTGCAAAAATATGATGAAGTAGGAGAATATTTAAAATCAACAGCATCAGTACAACTTTCCCCACATGATTTGTTACATCCCTACCTGCCCTTGTCCAGAGCGATCTTGGTCGGTGTGACCAGGTTAGCCTTGTTTCCAGTTCCCAGTTGTCCGTAGGAGTTTGCACCCCAGGCATACACACTTCCCTCGTCTGTCAGAGCCATGGCATGGGCATAACCACACACAATCTGGAACAGGCAATCAGAGATTAAAGATACATGCAATCTTCAGCTTCCTGAATTCCCCCATATATAGCAGATAGCTCCCAGCCACATGATGAATTATTGGTGTTCCTTCCCACAGGTGGTCCACTTAGGAGTATGCTAAAAATGTAACTTCCTCAGTTCCTGTCATTCTGCATGTCAATCTTCCCCACCCATATGCAGTCAACCTACTCTGGACAAATGTGCAAACACACCAATAATGATGTTTTCATACCCCAAAGTAAGTAAACAAAACAATGACCATCATCACCATCTTCAGATCACCATTGATATGAGAACTGATAATTATACAAAAGATAAACTTGCAACATCCAGCATTATGAGGATAATTACTGGATATGCTGATGATATGATTCACATGCAAATGTATGTAAATGTATATCATTACCTGTACTACTATCATCTGCTGTAAGGCTGCTACTCTGCAGGGGTTGGGTTGGTTCACGTTGTTGCCGACACCCAACTGGCCATTTCCATTGTAGCCCCAACCATAAACCTAGTGAAAAGAGAAGTTGGGTGGTAATTTTAGTATGCTAGAATGTCAGCAAAAACCTTAGATTCTAAACCTTACTGCCTCTCTTCAGTTCTTGAGTTTCTAAGACTTTAGCAAGATATATATATGATAAGGGTTTATTTTTCTGACACTTGAATGTAAAAAAATATGCAGTATACTTGTGTACAGTAGTACCTTTCACAAACGAAACCGTATCAAAACAAAACCCCACACAAATATCTATAGGTGCAGCCACCGTGCGTCAAAAGTTAGCTGCAATTTTGGGTGCACAAAAGCATCTGCACCCAGCACTAGTATGAACCCCGATAAGGACAGCAATGCCACACAAAAATCCACAAAAATAATTCTACAACTAAATGATGTTTCAATAAGTGCTAAGCAAACACTTTTAAGCATTATAGATAATACGATATTATAACTTGTCTTTCTTTAAATGAAAGCTCATCTGTGTTGGTAGAATCCATAATTGTAAGAAGTCAAGTCGATCAACAATAAGTTAGCAAACACTTAAGCATTATAGATAATACAATATCATAAATTGTCTTTCTTTGAATGAAAGCTCATCTGTGTTGGTAGAATCTATAATTGTAAGAGGTCAAGACGATCACACATCTGACAATGGTTGATATCGACCAAAAAATTATCCTTTGTTGTGTTTGAATTAACTTCAAACTCTACAACGTGTCTTTCTTTAAGCTTTGTTTCACAGAGGTTTTAAAGAATTCGCTAAACGGACGTACCTCCCCATTATCCAACAATGCCATAGACGATGTCTGACCACAGGCGATCTCTGTCACTTTTCTGGTCCCTGCACAAAAGGCACAACACAGGTTGGAATATTAGGCAATTAAAAACAAAGGAAAATTTACAACAAAAAAATGCAGCAATCCTGAAAAAAATGCAGCACACACACACATATATATATATATAACCTGGATGAAGAATACATGTGTGTTGGACATCTTAAAGTTAAGGGATAGACAAGGAACTATGTTAGGGGTTTGTTGTCTTTAAATGCTAGAAAATAATTTGGAAAGGTGGGGGAGAGGACCTGCACATGAAAACCTGCACATGAAAGTTGACAGCTCAAAATGGATAAAAAATCTGAAAGAATCATTTTGTACCAACACTTCCATTGTCATACAACCCCCTCCAATGGTTCAGTTGTTCCTGGTCCATCAATACCACTATATAGAATGTTTGGTTTTATGGGTGGCCTATTTCTAGCCTAGAATCCAGACGTGAGAGCTTATACCTGTTCCCATCTACCTCTAGCCTGTACTGAGCAAAGCAGACTGAGGTAGATCAGAGCGGGTACACCTGCACGGCTGGATTCCAGGCTAGCCTATTCCATGTGTATGTTTGTTTCTTTCAAGTTCAACAATGACACATGCAAACGTTTATGAATTTTATGTTTACGAATTCTCTTGCACGTAATTTCAAATCACCAAATCAGACAGGCTTCAAATTTGCAGTTGTAAAAATATACAATACTAATAGTAGTACTAGTAGGTTACATGTACAACAATTGTACATAAATTTCTAAGCCAGAACTTGGGTGTTATTATACTTGTAACGCACACACACATGTATCCTTGCCCTTCTACTGAGGATACAGAGACAAGGTAGGGAGGCCGGGGACACATACTGTTGATCGCTGGAGGCTCACCTTCCAGATGATCTAAACAGAACAATACATATACAAACCTAAGGTTTGTGACAACAAACTCAGGTCAGATCTCAACAGACTGAACATTACATAAACACCTGATTACTAGTAAGGTACTAGTAACTCAAGTGGAACATAAATATACTGACACATGGGTAAATAGTACATTAGGGCTGTACAGCACCAGTATACTTTATAGTATAAATCATTTAGATACAGGTTTACTAACTTATTTGGACCTGTACCTAAACCTTTATACTAGTATTTTTACTGAAACATGAACATTCTGTACATATCACTTTCCTTGTCAGTATTTTGTACAAAACTTGAAAAGGGTAACAGGGTTCAAAACAATGCATGGCCATTTAGCATTTCATACATAATCATTAAACCATACAACTGAAAATGTAAACTTAGGGGTATAGTATATCATTTTTGCATCATACAAATGCAGCATGCATTACAAGCAAAGCTTCATGCAAAAATACAGATTGGGCAAATTCAAACAGTAAAAACTATACAATACAAAACAGAATATCCCACCTTACTTTGTTTCTGTTTCATATGGGCACTATGACTGAGTTGAGCCATTGACAAAAAAATATAAGAGCTGCCAAGGATATGCCTAACAACTATACTAGTTCCAACTATATACTTTGAAGATACAGACCCACTTTAAGCTTTGATGATCTGTCACACCTAATACATGTACAAGTACCAGTTGTACATTTCTACACAAGCTTAGATGCTGTTACCTGTAGCTACATGTTGAGTTGTGTCTTTCACCACCAACTTAGTCAGCAAATGTCTGTAGAATCATACTACAACTTCACTACATGAAAATTCTACTTACCAATGGTCAGTTGTACTAACATTCTTACCTAACATAGAAAAATTCATCATCATGACACAGCTGGATATGTGAATGTAACTACTAAGTACAATGTTGCGAAGCCCTGTAAAAGTAAAACATCTATTGTTAATGTGAATAATTGAATGTTAACAGAGCGGCATCCATAGCAAAGCGCTGAGGGGAATACATAAACGTGTAGATTGTTAGATCTGCCAACCTCAATAACTTAGATACATTAATTAGTTAGTCAGTTAGTTATTCTATGCAAGGTTAAGAAAGAAAACAACATACCGAGGCAGGCAGCAACTTTCCGCGGTGTTGCCTGATTGGTGGTTGTTCCAGATCCGACTTGTCCACAGTTGTTGTAGCCCCAAGCAAAAACCTGAAATCAAAACAAGTATCACATATAGCATAAACAATCTGCATGAAGGTAAAAGGAATATTTGCGTAGCATGAAACTAAAGCATCCATAAAGATATAGAATTAAACTAGAAAGGTAACATTTGCAAAGCAAATAATGTTTACCTTCGCATATGGTCTGGTCTGTTAATCCTTACTCAAACACATTCGTATACAGGTAAGACCATATACAGAAATAAAAATATTATTTTTATTTCTGTATATGGTCAGACAGGAGTCTAAATCCCTCCTGCTATAAAATTGCAACATGATGTAGCCCAACACTAGTTACCATGGTAACAGACAGTCTAGTTCAGGTCATTGACCTTTTTGGTTTGGAGAAGAAGAGGAAGAAGAGGAGACATAGCAAAAACAGTAATTTGCTTCTGTAATTTAAATATTTGTGTAGCATGAAACTAAAGCATCCACAAAGACACAGAAGTAAAAAAAAGATGGTCACACCTCTCCTTCTTGAGTAAGCGCCAACGAATGGTGACTTCCGCAGGCAACCTTCACCACCTTCCGACCAATCAGATTTGTTGTGATGAGCTGCGGCGACATGCCCTGATTGGTGCTCCCGTTGCCCAGCTGACTGTACCCGTTGTGTCCCCAGCTGTACAAGTCACCATTGTCCGTACACACCAGTACGTGGGGACCGCTACCGTACCCAATGTCCACAATCTTCTTCTTACACAGTATCTCGATCTTACGCGGTTCTAAGCTACTCAAGGCATCTCCGACCCCGAGGCAGCTGCTACAGTTCGAGCCAAGCGCGTAAACATCGTCGTCTTGTGTTATCACGATGGCTTCGTTGCCGGAACTGCCGAGAACGCAGGCTTGCTTGATCGTCGAGATGAATTCAGGGTCCAAGAGGCTGAAAAGTGGCCATCTTTCCACAGATAACTGTTTGCTATTGGTACAAGCCATGGTCATTTTTTTATGCAGTTGTCGCTACTGTAAAGTTGCCGAAAGGTCAAGTTGCTACTCTACCAGCAGAGGCTGCTTTGCAGGTTACTGTTCCCTTTCTTGCCTGTTGCCTGAAAGACAAATTAACAAACAAATGAACAATCAGCGTTTTATTATTTTTTATAAAGCTATCAAGGGATCTACAGTATCATGATATCATAGATATTATTGACGACAAAAGGATTTGAAGTACATAGCTTTCCCTCTGAAATTCTAAATTATTATGAGAAATTAAAATACCTTGCCTATGCCTCACAAAAGAGGGCATTCTTTGGAGGACTCCTAAAACGTGGCGCATCATGACCAATAAAGTTTGTTACAATTTGTACATAATATGCGTTGAAGTCAATGTCCTGGGGAATACAGAGGTTAAAAGCGGTCACAATTTGAAATTCTTTTCATACTTAACAAAACTCTGGCTCTATATAACACAGGTTAGTACCACAATATATGCTGTATACATTCCTGCTATAGATTGAATACAGTCACTCTACATATGTAAATATTTGGGTTACAAGAAATAACAAAAAGATTCACATATTGCAGCCTCATTATCAGAAAAAAGGAAGGAACAAAATATACTATTACTTGGGGTATATGGTATAACTTGTGTATGCTGTATTTGGTTGGGAACCCTAAACCACCCCTCATTTGAAAGTGGACCGGTCTTCCAGGAAATAAATGGCTTGGACTACCATAAGTGGGAGAAAGTGAAAACGATATGAAACTTGAGTGGGGTTGTATTCTCTGGTATTCAAATGGCAAAGTGGTCTAATATAGACCTTTTCCTTAGCTAATCAAAAGACCTACATGTACACCAGAATTTAAGTCAAAAGCAAGTCTTGTAGAAGGGCATTATATTACTTAAGTATATTTTGCTATAACTATACATTGAGAGTCAAGGATTGAGTAGTCTAAACTACATGTACAAAGTTTTTGTTAAGTCCAAACTTGTCTAAGGCTTACAGTTACACTACTAGAAATTTCTAGTCATCAAACTCTATACAACATTCGACATTATAGTTATACTGGACAGTAAAAGCTGTCTAATGACTAACGGTACATGCTGACTACTAGTAATATAAATAAGACTGAATAAGCTGACTCTGAAAAAGAAGAATGAATGTAAACAAAATGCACAAAAAGCACAATACAAATCAAAATAAACACCATAACAAAATTACCTTAATCAGTGGGACAGAGAACCCTCATTGAAGCTCAATCAACTTCTCAAAACCCAAACGGCCCCTGATAGAAATTTGAACTGTTTGCAGTTTGGGATGTTTGGCACCCAGCGGTGAGGCCAACTACACTGACCTTACGCAGCACAAACCACTGCCATGAATAGACTCTGACCTCTATGTTATGTCTGTCGTATTTGTACTCTGTGCCGTTCAACTGGTAACATGTATACTTTGAGTCACAGTCAATAAACCCATGTAACGTTACATATTATTATTTACTAGTAAAGGCTTATGCAGCTGCAACATTAAAAAACCTGTGAAACTTCATTAATACTAATAATACTGTTGATACTTTCATCAAGGAAAGGCTTTCTTGTTCTGTTCTTCTTTAGATACTAGATTATAGACAAACCCCTTCAATTGGTGTTTACATGTGTACTAGTATGAGGGTGCACTGTGCTCTTGCAATGTTGTTGCTGCAACTTCTAGGTCCTTGAATTTAGCCCAGGGTTTGCAGCTTGTGTTGTGTCGTATATGGTTACCTCCAATAATGATAGAGCACCCAATGACAATATATCATGGGCTGAGATTGAGAAATATTGCTGACAGACAGTGCAGCACCACCTAGCAGTCTGCTTCAGTATTACATGTGTTTTGGTTCATCAATTTGCCATGAGGGGCATGGTGTCATCACTCTATATACATGTAACGTTAGGTATCGGTAGTAGGTTGGATGTCAAACCAATATAGTACACAAGATGATACCTTGATACCTTGATACCGTCTACAGTCGAGTAAGGCTTCTTCCCGCCTGTTGTGGACTGGTCTTAGACGCCTTCTTCGTACTTCAGGTGCTCCCAGTGTCGATCCAATCTCGTTTTAAACTGGTTGACTGTTTCACTGGATACTACAGTCGGCGGCAGCGAATTCCAGTCTTTGATGACCCTCACACTGAATACATGCTGTCTACTCCTTGACTTGGCCAATGGTACCTTCAACTTGAAGTTGTGGCCTCTTGTTGTACCCCCTGCTAACTCAAAGAAGTTGTCTGCTTGTACCCTTTCCTGCCCAGTCAGGAACTTGAACACCTGAATCATATCTCCCCTTCTTCTTCTATATCCCAGGGACGGTATAAGGGATGATATAACAAGTTATAACAAGATGATATAAATTTGTTTTTTTTTGGGGGGGGGGAGCTGTTTTCTTCAAGTGGCTAATCCATGGTCCAGTCCCTTTGTGATTGCCGACGTTGCAGACACTGATGTCAATATTTTAAATGATATATAAAATCAGAACCCCCTTACGCTATATCACCCCCTCCCACATATATGATAACGTTATAACTTATATGACAAAAACACAACCGCCAAAACAAAAACGACATAAATATCCCTCCAATCGTTTCTACACGTGATAAATTTCGCTTTTTTCACGTAATTAGACAAATAATATTCTTCCATGCTTAATTATCGAAATTAACTTCGCTTACAAAGAAGAGACTGCGCACTTTACCTCAGAACTGACGATTTCAGCAATTTTTGGCATTCTCGGCAGACATTTTGGGCAGCCCAACAGCTGGTTTGTCAGGCTTTGCCTAATTGGCTAATTCGGCGCCAGAGAAGCCAATGAAATGTCTCGTTTCATTTTAGGCACGTCTCATTCAGAACTAGGTACAAGCATCTGGGTAGGTTACTAAATTCTAACTTTTCTTCAATCTTATACAAAATGTTGGACATTAGATGATTAAATGAGAAATGATTAAAGATTTTATAGGCTAAAAGTAGTGTATTCAATGTCTCGCTTCGGGTGAAAAGTAGTACCATAAGAATTCCAAAACCCCTTCTAAAAGAGTGGCCACTTCCAGTAATGATGGCGGCAAAAGGGAATGCCTTTTCTGTGATGATGAACTCGCAAAAGAGAAAATTAGCTGATGGAGCTGCGAAAACGGCGTCTCAGCCGGCCAAGAAAGGCCACTGGAGCATGGGTCTTCTCTCCTCCATGGAAGACCCCGCTCTGAAGGTCGACTCGGACGATAGAGTAGTCATTATCAAGGATAAATACCCCAAGGTTTGTTGACAACACATGTCAGGTCAAAGGGCACCAGATATTTTCTTTGTTCTTGACTGTGTCTGTGTGTGTTTCTGTTTGTTTGTTTGTTTGTTTGTGACCTCCCCTCATATAGACTTAGCACAGTGACAATACAAAGGAATTTGATGCAAAATTTGTTGAACAATCTAAATAAAGATTTGTTTCTAAAAATATTATAATTTTTCATAAATTTTTCATAACTTGTTATCTTTCATTTGTCACAGGCTCGGTACCACTGGTTAGTGCTACCCAAGGAAAACATACCCAGTCTGAAGGCTGTGTCTTCAGAACAGTTGGACCTCCTCAAACACATGCATAAGAAGGGACAGGAGCTGATAGACAGGTAAGTACGAGTAGAATTTGTTGTAAGCTGTTCTTTTAACTTCTCCTTTTGAGCATAAATTTGGTGTTTGTATTCATGTTTTACACTGTTTCTAAATCTCATGTTGCAGAACAGAAGATGCTAAACATCTAATTGATCTATCCTTCCGACTGGGCTACCATGCCATCCCCAGTATGAGGTCAGTAAATTACTACTAGTACTAGTATGTTCACTTGTCAATACAGGCTTTTCAAACGATGACACTTTCACCATGTTGGATTACTGTGGATACCTGTCATAGTGTCAAAATTTTTTTTTTTTTTTTGCTGCAATGTATTTGTTAATATGTTCATTTTACTTTTGTCTTTTCAGTCATTTACACCTCCACGTCATAAGTCAAGATTTTGACTCCCCCTGTTTGAAGCATAAGAAACACTGGAACTCCTTCACAACAGACTACTTCATAGACTCTGAAGGTTAGTATGTGTTTTTGTGTACAAGGAATATTGAAGAATAAAGTGTCTTAATGTATGTGTATTTGGTAAATCATGCTTACATTTAACACAATGCATTTACAGTGCTTTAATTAAGAAAATGCATCTGATAATGTCCAGTATGTCCATGTGTTTCATTTTCAGAAGTCATGGAAGAACTAGAAAAGGACGGGAAAATAGCAGACAAAGGATCCAGAAATGACCGCTTGAAAGATCCACTAAGGTAAGCAATTATTCATTTAGTAATTTCAAAGACTCAATGAGATATGTATCTATAATACTGTGTAACCATTTGTACATTTGTTTACATTGTGTATATGGATTCTTGTACTCTGTACATTGATTTGATGAACTTTTTTTTACTGTTTTGCAGATGCCATGTGTGTAAGAAGGAACAGGTCAACATGCCCAAACTCAAGGCACACATCTTGTCACATATTGCTAAACCTGGAGACAAGAAATGATGGACAGATCTTTTGAATGACACACTTGATAATGACAAAGGAACCTTACTTGATTCATTCTAGTCGAGAAAGTAGCAAGAAGCAAGAACATCACTGGATGACGCCAATGCTGTTTATAGATGTTGTTTGTCATGTAAAGGAGCTTCTTCATACAGTCATAAACTCTTTGCATGCAAGACGTATGTACTTGACTTTTAACATTTGTTGCCATAATTTAAGATTTGTGATGGAGAAAAAGAAAAAAACGTGAAAGAAATGTCTTTTTTTCCAGTGTAAAACAAGTGAATAAACCAGATACATGTACTTCATTTAGCTGTTATGGTTTCTTACCTGTCAATACTAGTATATGTGTGTGTGTGTGTGTGTGTGTGTGTGTGTGTGTGTGTGTGTGTGTGCATCAAGGAGGTCCTTGGTATGCATATATTATGCTGATTTATTATGACAATAGATATCCAATGAAAACATTGCATTTGCAAAGTGCCATTTTAATCAATGGGGGGGGGGCAGAAATTCGCTCACGCTTAAACATACAAATTCTCAAGATTGAAAGTCATTCTTTATCCTATCACTGCTTTTCTGAAATGATTGACACTTGGTTCTGGTAATAGGCCCCCCCCCCTCCCGAATTCTACACAAATGTAACAGCGCTAGCATGTACAATACACCACCCTCCATTACAAGTGAAATGTTTTGTGCTCCTTTTTACCCACACCAAAGCTTCCCAATGAAGGTTTTTACCCCCTGAATGGGCAGACCCAGACTGTTTAATGTAACGTAAGTGGACCATGCCTGCCTCTGTTAGGTGTTTCACGTCTTCTTGTGTGCACGTTTCAAAAGAGTTCATGGGTAATTAGAACCATTAGTGCCCTTTTACCTTTTCATTTCAAAACGAAGGTGTTGAAAACAGGTGTTTATTCTAAGCCTTTTTACAAACAAGTCGAGTACAGAAATGTTATAAGAAACACACCAATGTGACAAAAAAAGGTGCCATTCAAATTTTGGCCATAGCAATAGCCAATCCGCACGATTGTATTGTATTTAATGTACGTGTACATTTGTAATTGAGACCACCGTGGCTACTACATTTCATACGGGCTTTTGACAATGTATGCCAAAATATCGTGTATAGACTACCCTATTGTAATAAAAACAGTAAAAGATACACAATTCAAAAGAATATCAGGGTAGCTCTGACCAGATTTCCGTCCATAGCGACAGCGGTAATACCTGTCATCCGACGTAATGCCGGCAGGTATTTGCGTTGCTAGGGCGCCATGGCAGTAAGCGTCCCGTTACTAGGTACCGCCCCTCGGTGTGTTTATAGCTGACTCGCTTCCGGTGTGCGAACACGCCAGCATTACAGCTGTGGAAAATTTAACATCGTCAGGGTCTGAGGGAATACTGTGAGGTAAGTAGACGATATTTTCTCAAAATTGAGGAAAATTCAGACGATGTTTAAACGTTTTAACTGGGAGTAAGGTTGAGGCTATCGTTGCGTTGTTTCATGTGACCTCTCAGCCCCTATATTTTCAGGATAATTCACCCGCTATTGCTCGTGACCTTTCTCTTATTCTTAACTACAAACAGTGAAAACAATTGTCCGTTTAGGATCATTTCGTTGCTACTTATAGCGTGACTATACATTTCGTTATGGGAGTGGGGTTTTTTTCGCCCGAAGACAACTTGGTACTCGTACATGTAACCTCATGTACTACTAGTAATTCAACTCTCTTCAACACAAAATTCGAGTACTAAAGTCAACATCATCTAGAGTCCATACATTTTCTGTGGTGACATGAACAGCTTCCGTAGTCACTTATGCTTTGATTTACCTTGACATTTTCCTTGAGTACATGTAGACGCACGATATTGTTTGTTCATGGCAGTCCTCTGAGAATTATCAATTATGCACGTACTAGTGCTTGTGTGAAGCCCTAAATTTCGTAATGTGTGTTCTCAATCACTTGATAGTTGACTTATGTATCACTGACCTCCAGTTTCTGTGCAATTACAGATAAAAACATTTATATACTCTGCCTGCAAAAGGCCCACAGTTTAGTAAGGTAGTGCGGGGCCATTTCAGGGCGTTTCTTCCAGACGAAAAGACGGTATAATCATTACCTGGCCTTTGTGTACTTATCCAATTACAGGTCGCCGCATGGCCGGTTCCCAATGGTTTCTTAACAGTTTTACATTGTAATTTGTCAATGGTCTCTCACTGAAAGAAAAGAAGCCTATCTATTGTTCTACTTGTAGTGAAATATACATCCATACAGACTGCCTGCTGTAGCTATCTATAAATCTGGGTTGCGGTGAGGATCCCGTTGCCATTATTTGTTTACGTAAACGTCTCTCCTGACTAAATGCATTGTTCTGCTGTTACTATTTTTGTTCACTAGCAAATCTGTTCTGAATCGTGTCTTGAATTTCTGGCTTTAAAAAATGGCTCTGACTTCTATCGTCTTTGTGTCTTAGTTCTTTATCATCACACAGAATAACGTTAACGCTAAAGAAAGACAATCGTCTTCCAGTGCATGTTGTTGGTATGTGGTAGCAGGTACAGGTTGCTTGTCGCCTGAGGGCATATAGTCTCTTGTTTCTAAGGTATCGCAAACAAACATCCGTCGAGAGGTTTAGCAACCTTAGCTGTTTATCCCAACTAACGTATGACGTTTTTCCAACAGTTATCGCCAGTAAACTTAGCCAGTTTTGCGAGACAAGGCAATAAGAAGAACACATTCGTACAACATGAGCGCTCCAACAACACGACTGAGGGAATTCAAGTCTGCAGTACCGGACCCAACCCCTAGGTGAGCTGTAGTTTGTTTGTTTTGGTCAAATTTTTCAACGATTAGGCCATGTTGATTTGATTATATGGATGACATCCTCCGGGAGCCCCAAAACTGATGCGCGCGTGCGAATAAAAAAAAAGTTTTGCAAAAAAAAAAGTTGTTTTCATTATGAAATCTACGTGGTCATGAGGGTTGAACAAATGGGACAGAATATGGTTTGGCGAATAATCTAATCTTCAAGTTCATTTCCTTACAATTTCGTCTTTTTTTGTTTGATTTTGTCATTCTACGACATTGGTATAGTTTTTACTTATTTTTTTGTAACTTACGGTATATTTTTGCTCATTTTACAACTGTTTTGTACGATTTACAGTATGGTTGAAAACTTTTTTTTTTTTTTTGGAAACGGCCGAAAATTCATGTGCGCGCGGATGTCATCCATATAATCAAATCAACATGGCCTTAATGTAAAACGTTACATTCTTTCTTGTCAACTTTCTGTTATGGCTAGCTTTTGACAGCACTGAAGCTACTGATATCATTTTGTATTCATATCATTGCATATCTATGTTATTACTCAGCACATTCTAGAAGTACAATAAGTAATTATGATAAGTAGCTTGCTTATATTAACTGTATTTGCTCAACTTTTCTTTCCAGTGTTTACAGATACGGACGGACGGTAGAAGGGTTATACCCTGGACAGGTCGGTCGGGTCTCATACCAGATGAAAGAGGCTCCCTTACACCAAAGTTACAGGTGAGACTTTCCGACAAACGTATATATGATGCCAGTCAATGATAGTAACTGAAAACCTTATCATATAAAGTTATTTGTCGTGAGTCCTTGTATATGTTTGCATTGCCACAGATCAAATACTTTTCTCTATTACCCAGGTTTCTTCCTGAGTTCACGTTGCGAGCACCCTACACCCATGACAAGGAAAACCCATTCAAGAACGTCATACATACGGTAGGTTTTCGTCCACGTTTTATGATGATATATTTGTCAAAAGAAAAGCCACAGAACATGGCAAAATACTAGCGGAGGTCAAGTGAATTGCATCATTGTACTATAATATCACCGATTGTGAGATAAAATATATCATTTTGCGGGTTTGAAGGACACCACGTTACCATTGTCTTCAACTTTCTTCGTTTCAATTTGCAACAAGCTTTCAGAAGTGAAATTGGTGGCTGTCTCTATTAAAATTACGTTGATGACGATTTATCCTTTAATTTGACATTGTTTCAGTCACCTTTAAAACAACTTTTTGTGTTTTGTCGAACAGGAGGCGTCCTGGGAGTACGCCCACCCCACCAACCCCGCGCCCCTGCCGAAGACCCCGGGTGACCCCGTCCGACGGCCGCACACAGTGGACGTGTACGGTCTGCCCGACCAGACCTTCAGAACCAGCTACGGGGACTCCTTCAACAGGCGGGGCGAGCTGTGGGACCCCAGGGATCCGCTAGATGTCACCAGACTCAAGGCCAAGAAAAGAGTCTCTTTTGATAACTAGACTCGGCTTTAAAAATTGAATGATGACCAATAACTGTCATGACATCATAGGATCGTATAATGTCAAGAATTATGCTTCAACTTTTAACAGGATGATATATATTTAGAAAAAAAAAACAATTGCCAGGACAAACGATGCTTTTACGTCTTAATAACCTTGAATTGTAAGGTAAAAGTAGTTTGAAATGTTTTTACAATGTAGACGCTAATCTAAGGGGAAGGTTTATAAGGTATTTTATAGAATGCACATGTACAACTTTGATGTTATAAATACACCAACAAACTTGACATATCCAATCGTACATAGAAAAGAAAAAGACATGTACATATCATATTAGATCGCCACTGCGACAACATATTGGGTTGTTGAGTAAACAATTGGGTGGGTCTAAAGTTAAAATTCTGGTGATAAAATCTAACATTGAACCAGTACTGTTCCTTGTATATTTACTTATAAGATATGTACGCCAGTTGCTGCTACTGTTCACTGTTGCACTTTTACTGAGATTGATGCATTTCGTTTTTGTTACTAAGTGCGTGTTGTTGAGCGCCATATTGTAAACCGACATGTACAAATAAAATAATCTGTTGAATTTTACATATGCAAATAAAACAAACTGCTGCAGCAGTGTTGACACAATTTTACAAATATAGTACGAATCATTTCTATGTACATCTTGAGAGTTTCATAATCAGTGCTGTACCATAAGCAGTCTTTGCTAATTTGAAGATTGTGTGATACTCTATTCGACGCCCTACGTATAATGTAAAAGGCGTAGTGACAGCTACAGATTTCATTCTGCATATAACGCGTTACTGTTATAAATATAACGTTAGTCTCTATCAGACGATTCGTAGGTAGGTACTCTCTGGGCCAAAGTTTTTCAGTCTACTAGATGGCCAATTTCTATAATTTTTCAGCAATCAATTGGAGTATAAAACTTTATTCAGAACTACGACATTTGAACATAGATAATTAATAGCTACCATCAAATATATCAGTTATCTGACTTGTGCCAAGTGTTTTATTTCTGGAAAGAAAAGAGGGCAATCCACCCGCCCCCACCCACCCCGCCTTTTTGTACGTGTCCTTCAATTTCCTAACCTTTAATTCTCGACCTCTATGTCGGTCTTTTGGCACTAAATTTGTATTTAATACTGTAGTTGTGGAGTTAGACACCTAGTCTGAGCTAGTCTGGAGTGTTCCAGGTCACCTGTTGTTTTGACCCGTGCGGTGCATTGTGGGTACTCGGTACTTTCCCAAACTTTCAAGATGGCGTCATCCTGCATGTAAACAAACCAGTTTTACACCGAAACTGTCCCGTCATAGTTTCTGTTCCGCTTTTAGAGGCCCCACAAAAGGTTCACGATGAGTCGATCGTTCACTGTGCGGCCTGCGAACGCTAAACAGCAGCGTCCGGGTATGGAAGGGGCGAGTCCCGGCCGTGGCGCAGGCAGGGGAAGGGGGAGGGGGGCGACCGGTAACCAAGGGCCGAGCTACGTCGACGTCGACCACGGACAAGGGGCGAGACCGAGGGACAGGACTGCCGTGTCCGGAGGAACTGGACACCAGCAGGGGGCTACTGGGCAGCAGACGGAGGGAAATGGTAACGCCATCCCGGATGAAAGGTTCAAAAGGTATGAAATTGACTGGTTTCGAACGTGGATTTTTGCTCCTACATAATTTGCAGTGCATATTTGCAATGGTATGTGTTGTCTGTAACCTCGTTGGCTAATGTCGCAGTTGTTCCCAAATTTTACATGTCGACGTCTGATCAGATTAGCAGAGCAAACCAGATACATTTTTAAACATTTAATACCACGTTTGATGTAGGGTCGGAAAGTCCAAAGTCTGAGTTAAACAATATTTATGCTAATCATCTTATGCAACACACTCAACTTGACTCAAGCTTCTATTAATCATATTATGATATTTTATAATCTTTTCCAGGGGAGACGGCTATACCTTGGTGGTACCTAATGAGAAGAAAAGGCAAAGTGTCTTAAAACGTAAGATATCCGAACTATATATGTTGTGCCTTGCCATGCCAAACTTGTTTTGATTATTATGTAAAGCTACATTAATGCATTTGATGGGAAAATTAGTGAAGTGTCAGTTGAAATTCTGCCATCTCTATTCACATCAACAGAAGGCCAGAAAGAGCTGGAAGCCTACCAGAAGCACAAAGAGAGCAGAAGACCTGCTAACTTCTCCTATGTTGGTACTGTAGGTAAGTCATTTTAATTCTTCAAATTACAAGAAAAATCACTAAATTCAAAGACCTAAAGTGAACCTTTGAATAAAATCTGTTTCAATGTTTTGATAAGTACATGTCTAAAGTTTACAAAAAGATCCAATGAGCCTGTTCTGAATTTACAGGTGGTCCAAATGTACCTGAAGATGAAGTTAGGAGACAACAAGCACAAGAGGACAGGAGGAAGAGGATGAACACGAGGGTGAGCTTAGCTTCTTAAAAACATTGTTTGACAGGCAAAAGTATGTCTTATTCTTAGATATTATATTTTTCATTTTTATCATATTAGAAGTATCTAAAAGTAGATATTTTCAAAAGGCTCCAAACTACTAGTAAGTTTATTTTCAAAATCAATGTACATTGTTCTTTCTTTACATTGTCAATTATTATATTTTGCCAAAGGAAATTGATTTTATATTATCTATATTTGTAGGACAAGAGAGAGCAGTATAGGCAAACCCAGAAACAACAGGAGGATAAACAACTACAAATGAAAAAGGACTACTACAGAGGACAGGTAGGAAACCTCTGATGATCTGTTTGAAGTGAAGGAGCCCCACCTTACAGATTTGCATGGCACTGCATAGCAATAACAGTAACAGCTCTTGAAAAGTGCACAGTATACTTGAGGAAATATTAAATCTACTATATCACAAAACAATGTTTAATCAATCAAAAGTTACCAGTTGTGTAATTTATTTGTTGGTTCATATTTTGATTGTACATGTACCATCTGTGGCCTCATCACACATCTACACCTTTATTTTTCATCTCGTCACAGGCTCAAAAGAAAGAAGTAAAACAGAAGAAGGAGAACAAGGAAAGAGAAAAGAAGTGGGCAGAAGACCACAGACAGTAAGTCTCATTGTTAGATCATTACAAGATGGATTGCTGCTTTAAACTTGAACATTTATTTACACTATTTCACTTCTAGATACTAAAGATTCTATAATTATTGTGTAGAAAGAGAGACATCACTTCACATCAATTTATCTTTGTTCAGAAAGATTGGATTACACATTACACAGCAGTGGCTGTTATGGAGAAGAAGTTATATGAGTGTCATGTTTGTGTTTATTCTCACAGAAAGAATCAAGCTTTTCTAGATAGACTGGAGGCACAACAAAGGGGAGGGAGACCCCATGCAGGTGCTAAGGGTACTGCAGGTAGCTAAGGTTTTTTGTCTCATATCAGTCTTTTTTCTGTTAAGAATTTTGAAAAATTAGTACATTACAATTGCATGCAAACTGATAACCATCCCTGTCTATTACCAATAGGAGGCAGCCATGACAGCAAGGAAGTAGTAGAGGAGGAGCAGGAGGAGGAAGATTTTGAGGAGCAGGAAAATCCGCTCTCAGAACTACGTGACCTTTACCCCAATTATGATGTACAAATGTTGTCAGAAATCTTACAGAGTACTGACGGTGACTTAGATGAAGCTATTGCCTTACTTAGAGTTTAGTGTATTGATAGCAATATCAAATCAGGACAGCAAATTAGCATATTATCTTACAAGTATGTACATTGTACTTTTTCAGAAAATGGCATTAAAAGGGCTAAGAAAACAATAATTCATAAAGATTTAGACATATTTTAAGTTTTAGAACAGGATTGAATTGTAGATTTGTGCAAGTGCAAGAGACTATTGTTGAATGTTCTTCAGGATAGTTTTTAAGGTAAAGAAGCCGCAAGGGTAGCAATATCTACTGAAGCTTTTGTTGAAGTGTAAGAGTCAGGCTTGCCAATGATTTAACCCTCTAAGTATAATGGCTTACATGTGGATTGACCCTACTAATTCACACCTTTCATCTTGCTTCCAATGCACATTCACCAGCCACTTCAATGATTAAGGTTTGAGAGAATTTATTGTGCAAATTTGCAGAGTTTTTTTTCTGAATCGAGTCCAACTATGGTTGTATTTCAAATGTGTTGGGAAAATGTGTTTTGCCAAAATATAGCCCAGCCTTTTTGCTTGCCTGTGTAGAATTTTAGTCTTTTGCCCTTGCTGTCTGCAATATATAGTATCACTAAAGATAAAGACTGTTGTATGGCTGCAAACATTGGAATGTTACATGTAAGAATAAATCTGAATATTTTGTACATGACCAAGTCTGCTTTCTGTGTTCTGAAAGTCATTTCTACATACTAGTAATTCTGACCCTGACGCTATGCATCCTGGGAATGGGAAAAGGGTGAAATGCTCACGTGGTAGGACAGTAGGTCACCTGACAAGACAAATCCCATGCGTCTCTTCACTTCTGACAGTCTTCAGTTCGAACTCAGACAGTCAGTACGCGCGCAAGCTTAGGTGTCAGCAACATCAGCGGTGTTAACGACATGGTGGACAAGGCGAGTGAAGCTCTGCTGTACGCTGCAGAGAGAGGCTGTCTGCAAGGCGTCAAAGCAGCTCTGAAAGCTGGTAAGAACAAATTCTACTAAGCCTCGACGAGGTAGCCTGGGAGCCAGCTGTGGTGCCCAGCAACATATATCAAGGGAGCGGGCGGAGACTACGGAGGATGGCACCCAGGCTATCTATTGTTGCAAATGAGCATTTTTCTTCGGCGACTACGCCTGTAACCAGTTTAGCTCATGTAGGGTAGAGACTCCCTCCAGAAACTAGTACTGTTCCTAATTTAAATCTAAAGGGCCCTAAAGCATTTTGGTCGCGGCGCATCACATGGCAGCAGTGCTTATGAGTTACTTAGGTACTTATGTACATGTACCTAGTCTTTTCAGATATGTATTCTACAAGTGGCGTTTGGAGAAATGCTTTTTTCTTTCTCTCAGGATTGAGTTTGAAAACATGTGCACAAACCAGTAGATAATTATTCAAATGTAAATCAGCAGATAAGGACTCGCACGTAGGTGTGAAGTACAATTCACTAGCGACGCCTTTCGATCTTTCACTGGTTGTGCAGGCAAAAAAAAAAAGAAAATGCCACTTTATTTAAAAGAGTTCAAACCCTACTACCAGATAAATTAAGGACAGTACTTCTGGACGTTCCGAGTGGCATCCGTCCCCGGCCCCGTTCTTCAGCGTCACTACAAAATGAACTAAGAGTTAACTCTAACCATGCTCTAACAACATGAGAAAGAACTGGAAAAGCTGTTAGCTGAACATGATAAAGACTCATTGTTATGTGTCACTGTTAATGTAAATGAGGATCAGGTTTTTCCTATGGCAAGACAATACCATAGGAATTTCTATTGTCCCTTGGGTGGTGACACGTCTCATAAACTTGAGAGCTCTACACGTATGTGTACTACTTATATATTGGTCACCTTGATGTCTAACTTCTATCAACGAAATGTCAATTATTTCCAGCAGTCAACAATGCAAAATCTATGATATAAATTCTCTTGTGGAATTCAGTTTTACTGAAATGTAATCA